CTGGAAGTTAGCTGCTCTGCGGCAAAAGTCTCTAGTGCGTTTGCTCCTGTGGGGCCACACTTGGTGAAAGATCTGGGTAATTTGATAGCCAGAAGTCGAACATGCATCACTGAGCAGCTTTTAACTGGAACGAACGAAACCCTGCCTTCAACGCAGCGTCCAGGCAACACCATGTAGGTTGAAATAAATGTTTTGCTACATTTTGTAGGACCTGACAAAAATTAGCAAAACGTTTATTTATCTGTTGTGTACACAAGTGCACTGGAATTTACTGCCTTTTTAATACAGCAGTGTTTAGCCTCCATGTTGCTGCTGATTGGGTAACACCTCTATCAAACCTACCAAACAGGAGAAAGCATTCCTCCATTTCGAGGAAAAGTGTGCCTCAATCAGGAAACTGTTGCAAACCAGTACAAAAAGAAAGTTTTGAGATTGAACTCGCCCCAGTTCTCTTTATAAACCCATGGTTACAGCAGCTCACAAGCCCCTCAGCAGGCTTTCGGGAAGTTGGCCAATCAGAAGAAAGGGGGCTTTTAGGGAGGGGGGTCTTAAAGAGACAGGAGCTAAAACGTCTTGCCGAAGATTAGATAGATAGATGGATTTTTTTTTAACTGAGAATCATGCAGAGCTACTCTTGTAGAATCCCAGATTAAAATCATAGAGCTGGAAATGAGCATAAAGGGGGCCCTTAAAAAACAGTTTATTGTTATTGTAGTCATTCCACCTTAAAAGCAGCTATGATATAAGTCCCTCCCCCTCCGGTGGACCACCATGGGACCTTATTTCAGAAATAATATGTACAGTAGTCAATGGCAAGAGACATATTTTTTTATCCCGTTTGAATTGTGCTCTGAATCAATTTAAAATATAATTTTGAAAGTCAAGAAATTTTTGTTTCAGTTTGTTCTAAAACTGTTGAAGGATAACTTCACTGTGAAAATACATAATCAGAAAGACCAAAAACCCAAAAGTCGCATATGTGACATCACAACTGTTTCTCTCAATGACTGAAGCTAGCGTTACTGAAGCTAACAGCAAAGAACTTACATGTGTATGATTCGATGAAAGGACCTAGCCTAGCCACCTACCTGGCAATTAGCAACCAAGGAATGAAAGTTAGCTAGCATTACAGCATTGACGTGCTGGTAATGGTGACTATTGTTATTGTATGAGAAAAGAGATGTAGTTCATTGAGTGGTTTCACAAAAAGCTAAATGTTACTTTACTGTTTTACAACAAACTGCGACTTCCTTGATGCATATTTTTATTTCATATGCATATTTTTTCTGAAATGAGGTCCCATGGGGCAGAAGCAGATGGGAGGTAGGCTCTCTTTTAAATTCGGTGTATTTTTCAACCTGTACCCTATTTTCCAATGTTTCTGTGCTGTGTGACAATTGGGACAACATTGTTTGATTAACATTTTTCTGAACCTCCAAAGCACGATTATTTCTTTGTGAGTCCACAGGTCTTACACATCTTCCAGCTGTTCAGTATTCACCTCAGATTCCTATATGGCAGCAGTGGTAAATATGCTGAGCTCACTGCTTAAGAGCCATAACCCTCTCCATACAGTTGGTTCGGCCCGGTTCATGCCGGGGACATGGCAGTCAATGACTCCCTGATGATGAAAAATATTTCATTAGCATTTTCATCTAGATGGAGAGGCAACCTCTTGTCTGCCGGAGTGTGTTCTGACCTTGAGCCTGGCCCTATTAATGAACCAATCAGCAGGCGTCTGCTTACGTTTGCCAGCAGCATGCCTGAAGATCTATGAGGGACACATTTAACATCAAACTAATCCAGAAATGTTATGAGATATTTAATGCAGTGTTTGGTGGGAGCTTTCATCTAAAATGTTTTACAGTACACTGAGTGCTTACATTTTTATTATGAATGGCCTTAGCGGCAGCAGAGCTTCAATGGTGATGGTGAAATGTGTTTAAGGGTTTTCCTCTTAGTGATGATGATGAAGGTGCATTAAAAAAGAGAAGGGGTGTGATTTAAAGGAAAAGATCACCCAAAAATAATAAGTCAGACATCATCAAGTCAACCCCGACTGGTAGCACACAGACTCAGTCTGATTCCAAACTATTAATGTTAACAGCCCCAGACAAACTTTCCATCAAATCCCAGCTTATTCAGCACAACCTAGTTTGACCAAAATTACACTCTCCTGGTCGATGACCTTTGACCTCTTCCTAGTGGATGCTGTGATCAGTTTGGGTCTAGTGTTCACAGACAGCTGATGTTGTCTGTCGTGTTCATTCGGGTTGCTTGTTTTTCCATACGTCTGTCACATGACAAACTGAGCAGACACCATCTGCTGATGAAGACCATTAGATGCAATTAAAAGAACAGGGAGAAAGCTAGAAAGTAGAGTTTTGTTCTTGTCAAACTGCAGTTTCCACGCTCAAGTATGAAATTTTATGTTCAGAATAAAATGTTTTTGTAGTTTTAGTAGTAAAGACGCCGCTCACTGCTGAATACATCCAACCTGAGACTCATTTAGTTTAGTTGGTTTGAGAGAACACACAGGGCAAGGTAACTTTACTGATGTGTTTTGGTGACCCTACAAAATCGGAGTCAACTGGTCCTTTAAGTGTTTTACATGCATGTGCCTCAGTAGGGATGATTCATATCAGGAAAAAAATTGAATTTGTCCTCTGACTATGACTCTGATTTTATTATGAAACATTATTTGGAACAACAAAAATAATGCTTCATACTCCCCCTACAGTGATGGAGGCTGACCTGGCTGTTAGATGGACCATCTTTTCACTGATACAGCACAGGTTTAACCACCATGACTGCCATTGTCAGTGTGTCCCATCCCCCCAGAATGTAAAATGTTAAAATAAAATTGGGAAAACAAAAAAACAAGAGCACAAAGACAAGAGCAAAAGCACTTCTCGTTGGAAATGAATCAAGGTTGTTTTGACCGCCAAACGCCACTTTAGCAGGACTGATGTTACTGAAGATATGACTCAAGATATTTATAGAATGAGCCAGTGTGAGTGGCAGGTTTACATGCGTAGGGGGTCCAGGCTCAGTTGGGGGAAATATCTGTGTCTGGTTTCTTTGGACTCACCAGATAAGGCAGAGTTGAGTGCCACGCAAGTCCTTGAACAGTAACAAACAGTGGATTTATTGCTACTGGCAGCACTTTGTTTACAGACAGCACCCTCATGCAGGAGCTGATAAAAGCCTGGACATCAGTGTGTGTGAGCAAATCATTTTTTGTCAGGTTTGGCAAACAGGCTGACAGAAGTGAACTAGTTTGTTCACACTGACAGGGCACAAATAATGAAGTTCAAGGTTGTAAACTGGCAGTTGAATGTGTCGCACACAGCACTGGCTTATCAGGGAGTTCAACATATGGACAGGATGTTTCTGTTGTAAGAGTCTGTGTTCCCCCGTCTACAGATCCTTTCCATCACAATGTTGCTCCCATGACCCCTGTACACACTTTGTTTTATAACCGCAGTCAAAATGAAAAGTGTTAATACTGATATCCTTACGGCTTAGTCAAACATTGGCATTTATTCCAAAGTAATATACATGTCAAAAAAAACATCAAATATTGCCGCAAGTGGGAATGACCAGAGTCTGTGTTGATTGCAAGCATTTGGATGCTTTTTCTTCTGTAATTGATAAGATGCACTTGAAAACAAGTGGTTTTAGGTGTATTGTCATATCACAGGACAGCTCAGCAAAGCTCAATCATTGCAAGTGCACCAAGTTATAATAGCTTAACCCAATTTCGATTTCTGACTGGTTATGTAAAATTGAACTTGAAGACATAAGTTTAAAAATTTATAATTTTACAAACCATATAGAATACAAAAATTAAGTTAGTCCAGATATGCTATGTAATCAATTGGATGCCACTTGCTCAAAATTTTTAGGAAGAGTAGTGAAAAAAAGAATTGGACAAAATTCAATATGGCAGAAAATCTATCCAGGCCAAATGGGAGTGGCTTAAATAGATAGATTGGCTTGGCCCCACATAAATCAAGGGGAAAATAATTTTTTTCTGTAATAGGCCAAAGTTTGTTGTTATAGAGCCACCATCTGGCTAAGTGGAATCTATTTTTTATCTTAGTAGAGGATGAGATAGCAACTGTAGCTGTGACAGTCTCTGAGACGCAGATACTTTTAGGGCAGAAGAAGAAGAAACTTAACAAATACAATAGGGTTCCAGCAACTTCATTGCTTGGAGCCCTAATAACATAAACTAATGTTGACTGCAGAGCTAGAGCTATTACCATGAAGAAGTAAGCAAGGCTGAAAGTGTTGTCATTTACTGGGACATGCTGCCACCTTCTGGTTAATCATAGGCTTCAAGAATAAATAAGCAGATGCTGGACTGTGGAGCCTGGACTATGCCACTGGAGTATAGGCTTTTACAGTGTTTATTATAATACATTAATAAATTGTTCAAATGCATTAATAAGCTCAAATTAAATAACATAAAGATCATGTTCTGTCTGTAATGTCTGACAAAGTCAGTTTCCATACCAATATTGTTATACTGTAAAGATGTGTCTCTTTAGAGCTGCACTAATCAACATTTTCATATTAACAATGGGTTAAAGGACTGTGTGTATTGTGACAAACCCACAGAGATTTATCACCTGACACTGCAATTCCTCACGGCTCTGTGGAGCATTTTAGCCTCTTTTAGCTCATTGTTGTGGTTTAATTGCCCACAATGTTTTGTTCATTCTCAGTACTCTCATCAGCCTTGTTTTCAGCCACAGCAGGCAGCTGTATTCAGAGATAAAGCTCGGCTAAACCCACTGTACACTAGGAATTTTTTAGTTCTACATTATTTCCTATCAATTATAAAGAATATCCAACTGTAATAAATCCCTAACAAAATCTTTCAGCTGATGAAATGTCACTATGAAAGGCAAGAATTACAGGAATCAGAACCTACCTTCTTGGTTAATGAAATAGATTAAAAGTAACAAATGTACCAACAGACATATAAGGAATTATCTGGAAGTTTTCTAATATTTATTGGGAAACAACATGTAAATTTGATATAACTAACACATTGAAGGAAGTGCATTACAAAGTTGTGCATAATATCTACTCTACCAACAAATCTGTGTCAACATTCGATATTGCAGTTTTGTTGAAAATGAAGCCATATTATGATATATGTTGTGATGCCTAATGTTTGATGCTCTCTCTGTATGCTTAAAATCTCAATTAAGTTTATTGAAGATGTAGTGAGATTAGAAACACTGTTGAAATGAATTACAAATCAACAGAACAAACAGCAAATCTGAATCTGAAAACAAAGGACAGAAGGAAAACACTTCTGCTAACTAATCTGCTGCAGTAATCATAGTCCTCCTCATAAAGGCATAGGAAACAAACTCATACCTATAGCATGTTGGGTTTTGACAAATCTTTATATTGATTATTTTCCACAGGTGTCCGTTTTTCCCCCTAGTTTTTCTCAGAGGGGACGTACAGTTAGGGTGAGGTCAGCCCCCCGCTGTGGGATGATGTAGCGCTCTTCCCTGAGTAGACGCAGTAGCAGGTCCGGGGTTTCCTTGGGCCAGCTGTAGATCCTGGTGCTCTGGAGCCAGTTGGGGACATGTCTCTGTAACACAGAAAGAGTGGGTCCATGGGTCGAGTTAGTGAGTGACTCTGGATATGAAAGCCTCACCTGCAGAAAACACTTAAATTAATAAAGGAAATCTCAGAGAGAGCCCATCCACCATTTAGATCTGTTCTTTACATTTCCCTGATATACATATTCCCAGTGTATGTTTTATATCATGTAAATGGATAGGTTTTTTACCTGGAGTAGTGCCAAATAGCAACTGTAAATCACCAAATTTCTCAGCCAGCTCACTGTTTATAAGGAAACTATTTAAAAAAACATTGCATAAAATCACAGGAATTTGTGAAGCCTAGAGCATGGGACTCATAAATCTAAAACACAGTGTACAATTTATTATACACCATATGAGACTTGATGTGGGAATGTTATGTATTTTCAAGGAAACAGCTATTTATATCTAACACAACATCTGGAAGTGCAAATTATGTATCAGCATCCATTTTGACAGCTATTTACTGCTTATAGTGGAGTGTGCATAGTGCCAGGCCCTCCTCTTCATACAGAGTGTATGAAAGAAGACATGAGTTGCATTCGGTAGTCTGTCTGTTTTTAAACAAAACCTCCAACTAGGTATACAGCATTCCAATAGAAATATATACAGTTTATGAATGACCATAAACTAACAACTACATAAATTATCAGAACTTCTGAATGTAGGATTTTTCACAGGTTGTGAAAGAGTTCATAGTGAGCAATTAAATAAGCTGCTGGTGTCCGACTTCCTGTTCAGTATTCCACAGACAGTCCTGTTGTCAAACCTTTTATCCAAAATATCACCTGTTGAGCACTACACCACTTAAAAGCATTATGATTTGTTTTGGTTCTGATTTAGTTTAGGTTTTTCCTCATCAGCTGATGGACTATTTTCTCCATTTTCACAAAAAAGAAAAAATGTTTTTGGACTATTTGGAATGCAGCATTGATGTTGTTTTAAGTATTTTGATAATTAACAAACACGTCATAGGGCATTCAAGTAAAAAGTTGAGTCAACTTTCAGAATATGAAGTGCATAAAAATGTTTATGCTATGTGGGGAGTTTTTATTTTATTTTTTATTTTACTTCTGTCAGTTTTCCCAAAGAGCTGCTTATTATATTGACTAAGATAGAACATGATTATTAGCATTCAACAGGTACATCCCCCATAAGTCTTAGCCATAGCATATATGTAATCAAAGCCTAGGAATTGTAGTAGACATGACTTTTTCACAGGCCTTTCTCATGTTGACTTGTCATAGTAAGAAACACACAGGTGTTACTAATGACATTAACAATGGTTCTGTTCAATTCAAGTGTCCCAGTAAAGCATGACAGTGGCTCAGTGAGACAGTGAGCCAGCACAGATAATAACAGGACCCTGAAACTGGTCTTCATTCAGAAAAGAGAGACGAATGAAGGCCGTGAGATGTGGTTGAAAGCTCTGAGAGCCAGTCAGTTTGATTTTTTGTTACATATACTGTTTCCAAAGGTTAAGAATGAATCGCTGTAATGTGTGTGAACCTGACCCTCTGACGGTTTGTTTGATGTACTCACCTTGGTTGCATTAGGAAACAACACAGGTACCAGTCTGAAGTTCAGGCAGCCTTGTTGGATGTACTCATTTTGGATCTGTACCAACAGGAAATGAGGACAATCAGTGCTCATAGTGCTCCAGAAACTTACACAAATAGTTTATTTAATACAGGCAAAACATTGCAGCTACTGATACAGTGTAGCCTGCCTTTTAAATTTACAGAACTCAGTGAAGACTGGCCAGACAGAGGGGTGAAACCGATGTTCATTTTCCCTTTGGATAATAATAAAATGTTCAAGAAGCCTTTTCATTTTCACATCTGATACGTTCTCTGATGATCAGCCTTCCAGATTTACAGAGCGACGTGTTTGCACTAAGCATTATGGAGCCTTCCAGGCCCACACCTGGACACACTAACTGTGGGACTGTGAGTGTGGGGACAGTGGGTGGAGTTGGCAAATGAAATGTCCCATTTTCAAGTCCCTCTAGGCATTTCCTCATTCTCCTGTTCCCAATGGCATGTGGGAGGAGGAAGTTTAATGACATAAGCTTGCCACAAGAGGGCGATATTTCACACAGACATTTCTGCCTCAATTGTTGACAGCTGTCTTAACAGTTATGCGAGCTCTCACCTGATTGTGAATGTACTTGGTGTGCAGGCCATGCTCATCGTCCCCAATTCCCTCCACATCCTCCTTGTACTTGGGGCTGATGACCACGATGATGAGCACCGATTTCTGTTAAACGACACCTCACTATCAGCTTTTGCAGAAGACAGCAAACTGATTAATTTTCTGCCTTGACTCAATAGTCAGACTTACATCGTTCAAAAATCTGTCCATCCATTTGGTGATGTCCATTCTTTTGATTGGATCATCAAAGATGTCAATCTATCAAGAGACAGGCAGAGTGTGAGTGTTGATCCGGGAAGCACAAAGGTGATAGATGTATGATAGGACTTACTGCTGGTTTGAACCCCTGAGCAGTCAGAAATCTGGCGAAAGGTATCATTTCACGAGCTGTGTCCACAGAATATGTGATGAAAACATTCCCTGTCAACAGAAAAATCAGTGAAACATCCTTATCTCTACCTAGTACATTCTTTAAGATTAGGAAAAAGAGCATCACATGCACATGGACTTACTACACTCCTCCGGTAGGCTGATGGTCCTCCTGATCTCCTTTGTAGCTGCTCCTGGACCAGCCTGGAAGGAGTGATCCACGCTGACCTCATGAATCACATCTCTAGGAGGAGATCCATAGTTGGTATTTGGAGCATCTCTAAGTTGCAGCCTATTAGGAGGAGGATGCCTGTGGAGGGAAATGATCAGGAACAATCTGAGATATATGGAACACATCTGTGATGTATCTATGACTCTATGTTGAAAATATCAGATCATAATGACAAAAAGGACAGAATAGTTCTCATACCATGGATGTTGGTGGGGCCGAGGCTCCTGGTGTGGCTCCGCTGGGTAATCATGCTTAAAATGATAATTTGCTGGAGGGCAACACGCACGATTTCTGAGACAACTGCCCGGCATTGGATCGGGGCCTGCAGAGAGACATGGAGGAGCAGACATAAATTTCCTAGTTTGAAGTGTTTCCAATTCAGCAGTGATGAGGTCATGCAGACTCAATAGAAACACAAGCGTAGCAGCTGAATGATACAGGAGTGGGGAGGTCACACTGCATTAATGAGCGTCTTGCCCTAAAATCAATTCATTTGCACGGGTCTCAACGGAGGGTGTCCCATGACACTTGTGTAATAATTAGAGTCATTACATACAGTATCTCACAAAAGACATTTTCACTTAGTGGTGTACTCACTTTGTTGCCAGCGGTTTAGACATCAATGGTTGTGTGATGTGTTATTTTGAGGGGACAGTAAATTTACACTGTTATACAAGCTGCATACTCTCTACTAGTGTTGTAGTACTCGAGACCGGTCTTGGTCTCGAGACCGGTCTTAAGACCACTTTTTGACTTTCTTGTCTCAGTCTCGGACATTGAGGACTCGGGATTTTATTTCAAGACCATAACTTTGGGACTATCAATAAATTGCTTTTACATTGTCTGATTTATTTGTTAACATCCTAACTTTGATTGAATGTAAAACTTATTGCTTCAAATGCAACCAATAACCCTAATCAAAAATGTGTTGTTCCCATTAACGACTGTCCCCCCTCCCCGCGATGGTAAACATGGAAAAGGGGTATTGAATAAAGATGCTTGCGTTGATTTTAGCTCTTAGTGTTTGTATGTGGGTGTTTTAATGGGAATGTGGATCTTTCAGATCAATGTGATCAGAGAGACCTCTGATCTTGTTCCACATTTCATTGTGTGTCATGTAATGTGGGGAACTGATCTTTGTGTTGACTCTCTCTCGCCCTCCCTCGGACTTGGTCTCGATTTGGTCTCAGCCCCTAAAAGCCTTGGTGTTGTCTCGGTCTCGATAAACTCTGGTCTTGGTCTTGACTTGGTCTCGGCTTGGGCGGTCTTGACTACAACACTAATCACTACTTTACACTGTAGCAAAGTGTCATTTCTTCAGTGTTGTCACATGAAAAGCTATAATCAAATATTTACAAATGTGAGGGGTGTACTCAGTTTTATGAGATACTGTATGTCAAAAACATGTTTTTCTAAGTTGGGTTAACTGACCCTTTAAACATTGTTATCATCATCCACCGATAAATAAATTGATCTTGTAGTCAAATATATAATTTATCTGCTAATGTAACAGTAGAGTAACATTAAAAGTCAAATAATCTGTAATATTTCAGTAACAGCTCCCCAACACTGACAGTAACACCACACACCTATAGTGTTTCTAATGATAATGCAACACTGACAGTGACCGGGCACACGTGCTGCAGGGTGTCGTGGTGGGACATAGTGGGGGTGGCCAAAGTTTATTTCAGAGATGAGCGGGAGAGGGTGCTCCAAGCTTTCTGTCTCCTCCAAAGAGTGAACCTGAGGATAGTTTGAAGGGCCTGCAAAGCCTCTACTGTGGTTAACCATGGGGTCCAGTTCACACAGCAGCACCTGCTCTCTGATACCATGAGGCCAAACACCTGCAGGATGGGGGAGGTTCCGCTCTCCTGCCTGTGCAGGGGGGATGAAGCGAAGCTGGGCTGCAGTGAAACAGGCTCCTCTGGGTTCATGCAAATACTGGCTCTCAGAAAATCTGCACTCGCTGACACTGTGTGCTGTCTCCTTAGCTTGCTCAAAGCCATGTCCCTGCAGCCTTTTGCTGGTCTCTGTATGTCCAATACACTGTTTGCAAGAAGGAGGCCAGGCCAAGTCCAGACTGGAGGATGTCATGCTCTCATCCATCTCAACAGGAACACTCGGATGAGGGCAAGGTCCTGATAACAAGAGGCAACAGAAAAACACCTTTGCACTTCATTTGTAGAGACATTTTGAAATACTAGAGAGATTCATGACTGCTGCGAGTCTGACAGGGTTTTGTTTCCTACCTTTAAGAGAGTCCATTTTCTTGCCAAGGAAAACTGCCTCTTGCCTGCAGTGAAGTGAAAACAAAAACTAAAGGAATGTAATAGAGCATGACAACTTAAAGAGACACATACAGCACCTTATATAAACACCGGAAAACCAGAAAGAAAACTGTACGTTTGAAACTTTCAGTTGAGAGATTCAAATTACACTTTTCATTTAGTATAAACTGTTCTCAGGACTAGAATTTACACATTCTTGTTTAACCCTCACTGAATAGGTGTGAAACGTTGCATGTTAAAAAGGTGTAAAGGTGGGTTGAGTGTAACATGACACAAGCGCTGCGAACTAGTACAAAGGTCAAAATCCCTGATCTAAAGGTATGCCATGTATGTCTTCTTAAATTACAAATAAATCTATCTCAAAAGTTTTTGTATACTTTTACCTATAAATTCACATACAGAGAATAAAGCAAAACGACTGTTTTCCCACACCTACCTTCTCTTAGACCTGCTTATCCCTCAGCCACAGCACAAACCTGTTCTGCGGCAAACAGGAAATAGTTCCACAATGCAAAGCAGGGATGTCTCGTGACTCATTTATGCAAATAATAGAAGGGAATTGTACTGTAACCGCCAGGATATTTCTTAAGCAAGGTAGGCATTCTGTGGCCAATCAGGTTTAACTGTTTATTTGATTTGAAGTGTCATTTTCAGCCAACCCTTGGAAAAGAGGATCTGTAATAAATAATACTTAAAGCAATAAATTAAAATCAAAACATTACTATCAAAACACAACATACTATTGAACATTATGGCAACTTTGGCTGAACAATCAAACATTTTTAAGGCTAGAAAACAGGTGCAGTTTCTCTCCTGTTACTACTACACATGACCTGGATAACTCAGAACGGGGTGTCACAGGGTTTTAATGTCATTTTTGGTCCTACATGCAGGTCGGCTTCACTGTTCGATCTCTGGCTTATCCCCTTGGTTCCCACTTCAGCCCTGCAGTTAGGTGGCCTACCCCACCCTCTCCTCACTTGCAACTCATTCCATCATCAGTTACTCACTATATATACCTTGCCTGCTTATAGGACCTTGATTCCTGCCTGCTCCTTGCTGGATTTGTTTGCTTGTGTTGGCCTTTGTTAAACATTCGTACTTTTTACTTGTACCTACAGATCTGCCTCACTTGTCAGCATTTGGTGCTACCCTGTGTTCTGGTCACCTTGCTTGCAACAGCCTTGAACCATCTGGCCAGCCATGGACACAGCAGGCTGTTTATTTGAGGTCTAACTGTGTGAGCTATCATTCACCCTCCTGTGCCTCAAAGGTAATTAGAGGAGGGCTCCTAGTAGGGAGTATAGAGAGGCAGCTCTGACTGTGGCATGCAGGGAAGTGCCCTCTAAGCCTTGGCTCAGGATTTTTTTTTATCTGGATGGGCTAAGGACTTCCTCAACACCCCTGATTCTCAGCTTGCTAGCTTCCAGCATGCATCCAAGGTCCTCCTCCCTACTAGCTTTTTCCACTGCTTTCGTAGTTTTCATGGGGGATGGTTTGGTTGTCATTGCGTGGTAGTATTTATCCCTTGATGAAGACCATGAAATGTGGTTAAAAAAACTAGTCAGTGGGGCGTAAGTTGAGGGTTTTCTATCAAACTGCAGTTTCCTTGGTCAATAATGCACGTTTTTTGTTAAAGGATAATTTCTCTAAAGTCTGATCTTTGTCCATTCCTCCAGATTCTTTCTAAGATAACTTTTTGAGATTGGTTAGCACCACAGTCGCAGGGCCGCTGCATGACAAGGCCTTATGATCTACAACTGAGAAGACTTTCATGGTGTTGTGGGTGAGGAGTGAGCCAAGCTCATGTGCCTTCGCATTGCAAGTCACTACTTGGACCAGCTCCCGACGGAAACGCCTGCTGACCATGCAGTAGAGCAGGAAGTTGGTGATGGAGTTGAGGTTCTGCAGCATGTTAGCTAAGTCTCCGGCCACATTGATGGGGATGCTGTAGTCGTTCCTGTTGAAGTCCTCGTTGTTGTACTTGGTCCTCAAGATGCAGTATGTGACAAAGCGGGGCAGGCTGAGCACTACGAAGGCCACGGAAACGGTGCCCAGCAGCAGGATGGTCCTCCTCAACATGCACCTGGTGCTCCTCCCATGCATAACGCGACGCTCTTCCTTGGTGAAGAGGTTGCTGGCGCGGCACAGATGATACCCGATGAGGTAGTTGAAGATCATGACCAACACAATGGGAATTCCACCTGAGAGGAATGTGGTTATCCACACTATAACAGTAGAGTAGGTCTCATTGCGATAATGACACCTAGGCAGAGTCACATTCTCCCCGTCCACAGTAATATTGACAGGTGAGACAACGTTGATCCAGCCCAGTGGCACAGAGACAAGATGTGACACCAGGACGACAGCCACACAGGTCAGTTTAGTGACCCAGGCCTGGGAGAAGTGCTGCTTGGCCGCAGTGCTGCGGAGGACGAGGTATCGCTCGATGGTGAACACCACCACCATCCAGGAGGAGCTGTAGAGCGATCCATACTGCAGGAAGCCCAAAATGCCACACCAGGGGTGAGAGTGCCAGAAGGGCTGCAGTAGCCAAAAGGTAAGGGTCAGGTCAATAAGGATAACCCACACCAGGTAGAAGGTGTCCACGATGGCAAGACAGCTCAGGTAAATGATGGCCGTGTCGGACATCCCACATTTACGGAAGCAGATCATGTAGAAGGTGAAGAGGTTGGCTAGAAGACACGAACATAAAAGCTCAGATAGATAAATGACATATGCCTGTCTGGTCGTAGATTGAGTTTTTACATCATAAATTTACATTTACAAAAATTTTTTATTTTTTTGAAGCCAAAAACACAACATCTGACTTTGTACCACTTTATAAAGTTATTATGGCAGATTAGCTTATTAGCATACAGTTGCTTATTAGCTGTCACAAAGGCTGAGGTGTGGACTCAAAATGCAGACACTTGCGAGGAGGATACAGTTCAAAGAGGATTTATGAAATGAGAACTCAAAAACAGGTTTACTCGGAGCACAGCTGGCAAAAGTCCAAACCAAGGGAGAATACAAAAGGAATGTAAATCCAGAACAGGGCAGAGTAATCCAAAATATGGGGAAACAATCCAGGAAACAAGCAGAGCACAAGGCAGAACACTCAACATTTGATGATGACACCCCAAGGACTGAATACAACTGAGGGCAATATATACAGGGGCACACCACACACACAAGCAGGCAGGGCAATTAAACACAGGTGAGACGCATTGGAGATGAAGGTAGACAAGAAACAAAGCTAGACAAAAACACCAATCACCAAAATTACAAATTAAACAGGAAGTAAAGCTACAGACAATACACAAGGACATATAATAATAATAATACTAATAATAATCTTTATTTGTAGAGCACTTTTCAAAAACAAGTAACAAAGTGCTTTAACAAGTGTAAAGACAATAATACCCAAACTATGTAACTGAATATATGTAACTGAATACAACAGAAAACAAAGAAACAATGCTCAACTAACAAAACCTAAACAAGAACACAGAGGCAATTGGTAAAACAGAAATGGACATTTAACAAAATAACAGAAAAAAACCCACACTCAAATCCAAGGTCGTGACATTAGCCACATCATTCGTTTATAGTAATGTTTTTGACAACTTGACAAATGGAAGTCCAATCTCCTCTTAGCTCTGGTTTGGTCTTCATCAACCCCTGACAAAAATATTGGGCTCGCTTGCCAGATGCTCCACTTTGTCTGTTTGCTGTTTGGTTCTGTGCAGATAGTGTACAGGTGCAATTACTTTATTTTTCCCCTGAAAACAGCTGCTTTCTGCTACTGGAAACAAGCTTTATGAGAGTGTGGTTTATAGGCCTGAAGAGCTGAGGGGAACTGCAGAGTTGGGTGATAACTCTGTGGGTTTGAAACTATTGGCTTTCATATTAGCATACTGTTGACATTTGATTCAGTATTGTTAATAAAACAACACTGATTAGTGCAAACAAAACATTTAAGACTTAATAAATCTGTACTAACGTTTTTCAGTGTAGATAAAAGAACATTTTAGCGTTTGCCAGAATGTTTAGCCTAGCTTAGCACAAATACAGGAAGCAAGAGAAACTGCTAGCCAGGTTCTGTCAACAATGTAAAAAGTCTTTTAGCACAAGACGGTTTTATTACCGTTTTATTTTAGCTAGCTAGTACACTCAAAAGTCACCCAAATGTTGTCACAACAGTCTGCAAACCTGAGACAGGACTTTTGAGACGCTGTGTAGGTCACCCTGTAGTTGTCGGTTAAGAAATAGTCTAGTTCCAAAGAAACCAATAAACCATGTTTCTATATATCTAGTTTTACATATACATTACAATGTGTAACTAAGACAGTGTTGCAATGTTTTGGTAGTGCAATTTTTCACAAGTCAGAGCAAGGTTGTTTCCTCCTGCTTCCAGTCTTTGAGCTAAGCAAGGCTAAATGCTACATGTCTTTATTTTATTTTATTTATTGTGGGTTTCAATGCCTGCGATGGACTGGCGACCTGTCCAGGGTGTACTCCACCTTTCACCCGACGTCAGCTGGGATTGGCTCCAGCCCCCTCGCGACCCTGTACGCAGGATAAGCGGCTGACGATGGATGGATGGATGGATGGATGGGTTTCAATGCCAACGTATATCCCAAATTGTGGATCTCTTTCTTTATGTAACAGAAGGCTAACTGCAAGCTTGCAGTAAGTAATTCATTAACAAATGGCTATTGACCTGGATGCTCTGAAGGCAGAGCTAAAAGTGATTTATTAACAACAATAAAGTCATTATTAACCTAAAAGAATGCCGGATCATGCATTGGTACCAACTGTCGTGATAAAACCTATTCAAGCATCAAGACCAAACAAGACGACATGATACACACCTGGTATACCAATGATGCAAAGGAGAGGGTAATAGATCTTCTGAACTGTGACTAAGATGGTGAAGCTGGCTCCCTCCATGTTTCATTCACCACCAGGCGATAGCTCACATGCTTAAACCTGTAATAAAGCCATTAGAGAGGTGGAGGAGGAGTACAGTAGACAAATACTGGTGAGTGGCTACATTGCAGATTAAAGCTTTTGATGCCATAAAATGGGATACTACTTTAGAGTTCTTTATGTGAAATTGCCATGATTTAAATGGACTAAAACTGAAGGCTACTGAGCCTTTGTTTAAGCTGATGTGAATGCAATAATCAACTAAATGACTGAATTGTAAAATGTGACGTTAAAAGCACACATACAAAACCATTACACTTTAGAAAAATGAATAAATTAAGCTTTGAATATTGCTCTATAATATGTATTTAATTTACTTTTGGTCTTTTTCTTCAACTATGTTTGAACATGTTCACAGAGATCAGACAGCCCCTTCTATGTTGCACACAACAAAAATAACCCGATTCAGCTCCAAAGTTAAACATTAAGCATTTCAAAGCATTTAAGCATTCAGCTGATGACTCACAATAAACACTGGATGACAGGTCATCTGTCTCTGGGTGTCTCACTTTGAATTCACTGAAGAGAGGCGGCTGAGGTTGTGCTTTATTTTTCAGTTTCTAACTGCCTGCAAAATATCTATCCAACAGTCTCCAACAGTTTAAAACATCCACTGGTGTCTTCCACAAAAGATCTAACTCTCTGTAAAAGGGTTATAGAGACTTACTTTAACTTAATACAGACATTAAGGAAAGCTAAACATATTTCCTTCTTCCTTTTGTCCTTTAAGAGCCTATTATCAATAATCTGGACTACTACAAGTTCATTATTTTCATCTGGGTGAAGATATCAGTACTAAAATGGCTAAAATCAGACATACCTGCTGTCTATAGGACCTCCGTGCTGTGTGCCTCATAGCTCTGAAGATGTCATACAGTAGTGGCTTCTTCCACAGAGGTGTATACCAGCTGGTTATGGCTCCACAAGGACGAGACTATCGTTGATATGAGGAGGAATGGGTGAGACAGCTGCTGGTCCTATAAGGCTTCAGGAGGAGGGTCACACCACCTGACTGCTGGATATAGCTATCCCTAAATTAGATACTCAATGTCTGGCGCCAATAACTGATACACAGAATTAAACTAAACCATGAATTATCATAAAAAAGTCTATCTTTGAGCAAATTAGAGTGATATGAATTTTGTATATTTTTATGAAAAGAGGTAGTAATAGTTTTTGTCATAGTGTTTTGGAAAATAACTCATCGTTTTGAACAGTGCTTCTAGCAAGCTAGCTCTCACTTTATTGATATGAGAATCAATTATTTCTTAATAACAAAGGCTTGTCTTTTTCCACTGGATGGCTGACACTGAAAACAAAATTACAGGAAGAAATGAAAGATTTCTAGGTAACTAAATGCTAACCCGAGCCTTCTAACATGCTCACAATGACAATGCTGATGTTTAGCAGGCATACTAAACATAACTGAAGCTGATGAGAATGTTTTGCAGGTGTTTGTCCATTAACCAAAGTATTAGTACAAATTACAATGTTGACCTGGGGGTGGTGCTACATGAAATTTTAAGGGAACACCATACAATTCACCTGGAAGAGGGACCAAAAAAGAGCAATATATAAAATAGAAAATGTGATTTTCAGCTGGATTGTGAAGTAAAAAAAAAGTGCATCAACACATAGCCTTCACACGTCTTTATCAGGGTTTAAACAGAATCGGCAGGACATCATGAAATAAATGTGTTTATGTGTTTTATAAAAGTTTGAGATCCTGATTGAGACGTGTGAAGGCATTGGCAATTTCTAGTAAGCAAAAGAGGACTTTTTTGTACTCTTCCATCATCGATAACAAATCTGGACTTAAAGGCTGCTGCACCACAAATGTTCTACCTTTTTACATATAAAAAAAACAACATCTTATCACAAGACAACCTGAGGTGGTCTTCATTCAAAATTCACCCATCAATGAACAGTAAGACATACATGAGGTAAGCTTACAGTGCCTTAAGAAACATTTCTGTCCAGAAATCCAGTATGAGATGAAACTGAGGATATGAGGATATGAGCTGAGGACAGATTCAGTGTGTCAGAGAAACTGGAGGAAGCTGGTGTAGGAAGGTGGAGAGGATTTGCCACAGGGGAGAGGGAGGAGGGAAGTGTCTCTTGAGCTGATGAGTTTTGAGGTCATGACAAAAAACAGAGAGTGGCTCTTCTGCTGCAGAGGTGCAGGGGGAGACGCTGACCTGGGTAAACCTTGTTTAGTGGGCTATTAGCACACACTTCCCACCTGCCACCTGTATTGATCCAGAAATCAAACAGCGGAGGACAAACACAGGTGGGAGACAACGTTTGATACTGGACAAATACTAGTTAGGAAAATTCTCTTTATGGGAAGTGAGTGAAACACTTTACTACAACAACTCTAATAGACCTTTCTCACAGTGGAAATATTGACTTGTCAGACACAGATGTAAAAACTTTACCGTAGCAGTAGTCCATGTAGGTGTGCCACTGCCCTGTCTTGTTCATGCTGGCTCACTGGCTTGTGTTAGGCTACTGGGACACCCATATTAAACTTAGGCCATCATTAATGTTTAGTTTCCCCATGTGCTTTTCCTGCCATCTCACTCGGAAATGTATGCTGTTGGAAAAGGTCCGGAAATTTCCGCTAAAGCCCACTCAAACTAGATCTGAGACCTGGGTCGGGTTAGGTCTAAATTATATTCAGTCTAACCAACTCTGTGTAGGGTCTTGTATGTACAATACTGACGCAAGTGAATCCAACTGTTCTGATCACAAGGCCACTGACAATCATCCGAATAATCTGGTTTTGGTATCAACTGTGGAGTTCAGGGAAAAACAACATGCATCGTTGCTCCTGCTCTAGACTTAATTATGACCATGATGCTCAGCAGTGTCTACTCGGCACCTGGTCTCTGCAGGGGCTTCACCTCAGTTGCAGCAGGCACTTCACACCTCCAGACTGCTTAACTGCAGGACGCACTGATGAGCAGCCAGGTTTGTCGGCATAGAGGAAGGTGTGAGATGTTATAAGGTACAGGTGTAATTCATAACAATACTAATGGCCGACTTCTGCTTCAGTTTCAGGGTCCTGGTGTTGTGCATGGGACACCTGTGGGACAGAGCCATCATTGAAATACATCAGTAACAACTGAGCTTTACAAGTTGATCCATAAATAAAAAAACTAAAAAATATTAGGGTTATACTGATATTGTTAATGAAGTGTTTGCCTTTGATTTTGTTTGTGGCATTCATTTTTTAGATACTGCGTCCCCCTTCAAGGATGTGGCTGAGGCCGTTTTGAGTTCTCCGTTGTTTTATTTCTACACATCAACACCCTTACATACACACTCACTCACACCTATCGCTTCTGACTTGACTGATTTTTCACATCACATGCTTTGCTTTACGTTCTGTTTAGATTTATTGCTCATTGTTTGGTAAAAATAAATTCTTTTGTTATACTTTCAACATGGTGGGTTTCCATATTTGTCACGGTCCAAGAGCCAGATCGTGACACTTGTAAAGGAAATTAAAAATTAAACCACTTTTTAGGCTCAAATACTGTATGTTGGTCTGGCCCTAATGGTTATTTTCAACATTTTTAACAATGTTTTTATTTTCACTACCTTTAAATTTCTAATATTTTATACTAATGGATTCCATACATTTATCTTCTCTATACTTTAAATGACCTCTGGTTTTTCATGTCTTGTAAGACATCTTAATAGACTTAATCGATAAGTGAGTCCCATGACTTTATGAAAGTGTAATACTAAACAGCTGGACTCCCCCGCTATCTCATTTCTCCTCAGATCACATGTTTGATTTTATTCACACACACACACACACACACACACACACACACACACACACACACACACACACATATAAGAACATGTCATAGTATAAGAATGGCCTCCTCCTCCGCTCTCCACAATAAATAAATGGATGGATAACATGGAACTTTTGGTTATGCTGGTTTTGTACATTAACATACCACTACCGTGTATAATATATGTATATAAGTAACTGTTTATATTGTTTTAACTTTTCTATTTTTCTAATTCTATATATTCGTATGTGTTCTGAGCTACCACTTTGATTTCATTACGCAGCCCCGTGTTGTAGAATGAAAAATAAATGTACCATATAAACAGTGGCATGTGGAAAGGAAGTGTCTTGGAAAGAGTGTAAAATGTTTATTGTTTTTTTTTTGGAATTCCAAACGCCAAATCACCAAAATAACAAAACAAGTTCTGTTAAAAAATGGAAATGAAAAGATATAAAGGAGAGAAGTTAGCGACACTTAATACCAGTTAGCTGTACAACTAAAAAATGAGGGGTATCCATTGGCCAGAGAACCATCTGCATTAAGAGCAGATCAGGGCCAGGTTCAATTCATTTTCAATTCAGAGGGTTACTTTATGAATTCAAACTTAATTTTTATTCTGAATTGCAACATGAATTGGTCCCAAACCTCATCTGAACATACAGTACACAACTGACTCTTAAAAGGATTAAAACAAAAATCAAAGACTCAAATACTGAGAGAATATAATCATGTCAGTAAAAACCTAAAAGAAGATATAACTCAGGATTGTGAGGTGGTCCGGGTTCAGCTGCAGGTTGGCGATCCGAAGGCTCAGGTGGAGGGCGTGCAGGAGATGAGGAAAAACGCCACTGTCCACTCCGACATCCCCAAAAACCACCGTGCTGACGAGGAGCGGCCTCGGAATGACAGCTCAAGTAAGACAAACATACTTAAATTAACTCGAACTTTCTTTCTTTCAGCTAAACAAAAAACTACACTCGTGGTAGAAAGACAGAAATATTTCCACCCAACTTTTCTCAAAATTATTAGCGAGGAGGGATATGTTGAAAATCCTTACACGCTCATCTGGAATTTACAAAAATCTATATCTGACATATATAATTTTCAAAAGAACCTTGTTTCATACAGCAGTAGCCTAACAACTAGTGCTCTGAGGGAGCTTTGGGGTTGCAAGAAAAGAAAAAAGGCTGATGGAGTGCTGCCTCGTGCTCGTCTGATGCAGCCTCTGCAATACCACAAACTGAAAAGTAAATAATGAAGCAATAATCTGAGGTGGATTTTTTTTTTTTTTTTTTACACATTATGTAAAATGAGAAAAAAATACATCAAGGCTTCCAACACGGCTGCCCCCCTTATAGTCTACTAAACCGCTGTCGATGAGAAGAGTCTTAATCGGCAAACATTTCATTAGTTAAAACCTCAAACTCATTCGGGATCCGAGCCTTGTCACCAGGATGAAAGTATCAGGGGATTGTTGCAACATGGACCTTTTCTCTAGTAAAACAGAAGTCACTTAGCGCGCTGCTAACTCTAGCTCCTATTAGCTAGTTAGCTCAGTTAGCGGTCTTATTAGCCAACTCTGCCCAGACTTGGAGTACTGGGGCAGTGTTGGTGTGCGTGTACACCACTAGCACAGGACCTTTGGAACACCAGGAGGAGGAGGTTTTCAGGCCCGGGGTGAAGGACTCAGCGGACAGTGGCGCCAGAATGAGCACTAGAACCGAAGCTGGGCAAGCGAGCGATGGACCTGCTCAGAAGCCTCCCAGTGAACAAGGCTGGACCTGGTACCAAACACAGCCTTAGAGACTGACAGAGGCCAGTCTGACTGTGGAATACAGTACCGAGGTGATCCACAGCGACTCCGATCAGGACTCTGAAGATACAGTGGGTTCAGGCGGGGACAGGAGAGAATTTGGGGGTTAATTTGTACGTAACGTCATACATCATCCATTGTGTTTCTAAGTGTTCTTGTGAAGTTATTGATTGCCGTGTGAGACGTGTGGGATGTTACACTGTGTTGAAATACACGAACATGTCCAGTCTCATACTGGTTGTTCCGACACATTCAGAATCATTAGCGCTTGTTGTTAGCAGGCGCGGCTCGCTTCGTGCGTGCGTTTGTGAAATGTATGTTTTAAAGGCTCATCAGTACGATCTGGTAGCTCACTGTTAACACTGTTACTGATAACATTCCTGGAACCATTTTCTGATGGCCCACAATATTTAAATAATTTAATTAATATCATAAACAATTAGCCAACTAATGGCTTGAACTAACGACGAGGAAGATCTTTAGTCGCGGGGGAGTCCTAGCTTCCAATTCAATCTGTAGAAAAGAATACAGGAGTGCCAGTATAATACACGGACAGGTGAACTGTGTCTGCTCAGGTGCTCCTCTGGAATGCTTCTTTTCATTTGCCTTTCTCACTTTTATCATTATTATTATTTTGTGCAGAAGAAAATAAAATCTTAAACGGAAGCAAACAATTAAACTAAAACAAGCCTTTCTTATTTACATTGAATACAGGTATCTCGTTGTATTTTCACGACCCCAATTAACTCAGTCCATCCTCCTTCCAACTTCCTTATGTATCGCATTTGCAGAGTTCTGACACTAGGGGGCGTGTCGGAGACTGAGGGTTGTGTTATAGGGGTTGTTGGTGGAGCTGAAATGCTCGGGTTGAGCTGAGGAAGCTGTACAGATCCTTAAAATAAAGGCCTGGCTGGGAAGGCTCCGGAGTTTCATAACGGCACTGTTTCAGCCAGTCCTGCCCCAGCCACGAGCCGACCCCGAGCGGGGGACGGGTTTAGAGGTTGTCCCCGGGTTGGTACTGAGGCTCGGTGGCTGTGAAGTAGTCCTCCAAGAAGGCTTGCAGGTACTCAAAGGTGGGCCGCTCCTCTGCATCCTTCTTCCAGCACTGCAGCATCAGCTCGTGCAGTGAGATGGGGCAGTCCTGGGGGCACGGCATCCTGTAGCCTCGCTCCACCTGCTCCAGCACCTCCCGGTTGTTCATGCCTAAAATATAAACACATGTAGAAGGTGAGTAGGCGCACCGCGGACATAGAGCAGCTCTGCTTTGATTAAACCTTGGTGACCTTCAACACAAACAGACAGCGAGCTCTAAAATCCCACCGCCACCCATCTTTTCTCAACATCTTTAATCAAACACCTTTTCAATGTGATGACTTGCTGACTGAAAATTTCTAGTCTCTTTTATCCCTTAAATCATCAACATTTTGTTCTCGTTGTAATAGTTTTAATGGAGCTTTTTTATTCTTACTCAAGTATATTGTGGGGAAAAACATACTTTTACTCTACAACATTTGCATACACTCCTCACTTCTTTCGTTTATTTATTGTTTTTATACATTTTTTATTTAGGGCACATTCTGTAGGTCTCAAGGTCTGCTTGACGCTGCAGAATAATGGATGAAGCTACTGCGGGAAATTCAGAAGGCAATAGTAGTTTTTTTGCTCTCTCTATATATATAGAGTTTGGTTTTTAAACAGCTCAGACTGTTGTGAGCTCCAGATGTGGACGCTGGTTTGAGGTCTGTTAATATCCGTACTGACAACACTGTGAGACATAATCTAGTTTAATTACACATGAGAAATTAGGGGCGGCATTAGCTCGGTCTGTTCAGACTTAGCTTGGAAACCGAAAGGTCGCCAGTTCAAGTAAATAGGATGGGTTAAATACAGAGAACTGACATCCCCTTTCCCTTTGGGGGTGGCTGGAAACTGGAGGGTTGCTGGTTTAAGTCCAGCTCGGATCACAAATACAGGGTGTAGACTGGTAGCTGGAGAGGTGCCAGTTCGCCTCTTGGGCACTGCCGAACAGATCCTGTGAAGTGCTGCTTAGTATGGCCTCACTTTGATATTCTCTCCATGTCTGTTGTCCCAAGTAGTATTAAAAACGCGGTCTAGTTGGTTTTTAAGTAGAGTCCTGTTGGATTTGGCGTTTTAACATCCACAGAGAATTGTTGACAATCTGGGAGTGACGCAGTTGTCAGCTTAATCTTCATGTTGTGGATAGGGATTTTGAAATAACACTCTTTTAACATTTTATATGAACAATTTTTATCTGGTGTCCACAGCCACTCTTCTACTGTACCTGCGTTGTAATTAAAAATGTGGAGTTTCAGGCGGTCCTTTGGTCTGGCTCGCTAAAAGATGCACCTGTGGCTTAGAATTAGAGCAGGTCACCCACTAATAGAAAGATCGGAGGTTTGATCCTCAGCATTACCCAGCCTGAATGTCGAAGTGGCCATCGATTTTTCCTCTTTTACAAATTGTCTTGAAACTGTGTGACAATGAGCAACATCACTCTAGTTAGAGACTATAGCTGGGACAGACAGATGCAGTAAAAAGAGTCACCAGATTAAAGGAAACACTGTCAATTCAGGTTACTAGAAGTTGTGGATTACAAAGCTGGTAAGAAACACTCATTATTTTTTGTTCTACCTGCCGTAGTTAGTTTAAAACTTGTTTGTAAATGTAAATGTTGTTTGTCTGCGATAAACTTTTCGAAAATGTTGAATAAAAGCGGGAAGACGAGCAAACATGAAGAAAGCGTTTGCGTGATTTTAAAGACGTCAGGCTGATTAAGACCCTCTGTCTGACATTGGAGTGAAAACCACCGGTGGGATTTAAGAGATAGCATGTTGACCTCTTTTTTCATATTTTTGACATATTTAACTAATTATCTAAACAGAAGATTACAATGTGACATTACATCACAAACTGAATATAAATACACGCGCGTTCACTTCTTTACCTTCACCTCAATCATGTCAACATAAAATGAAGGAAGTGTACACATTTTTTCAGTCTATACATTTATACTTTCACTCAAGTAGTTATTGTGATGACTAATTCTACTTTCTAGTAAAATAACAGTACTTTTACTTGAGTACACACTTTGGCGTCTACCCAATCCTGTCAAGGACCCAGAGGTGGCCTCAGAAAGAAACACATCTGTTAGCATGACGCTACTCCTTCAGCCCATTGCGTGCTAACCTCCCTCACCTTCTCCCTGAAGCACAACCAGCCCACCAGCCCCATCTGTACAAACATGTGTTTCCCTCCCTGCGTGGAGCTGCACTCTGAGTACACTCTGTGCCTCGGCCAGCCTCCCCCTCACTTCTTTCTGTCAGAAATTCAAGTGGTCCCGCAGGCGAGCCAAAGTAATTAAGGGTTATCTCACATTCTGGCAAAGAATGGAAGGTTACCCAAGCATTAAAGAACCTTTTACTCCCATAAACAGCAGGAGGGGCCGCCTGTTGTCATAGGAAAAGCTGTTTGTGCTCGGGTTTCTTCTTATCAGGCCACTTTATCGACGTGTCCTGAGTGGCTCAAGGTGAAAGACACACCACGCAGAGCCTTCGCTCTCTGTTTACCCCCCCCGCCCACCTCCCCTCACCTGGGTAAGGCACCCGACCCTTGGTGACCAGCTCTGTCAGCAAGATGCCAAACGACCACACGTCTGACTTGATGGTGAACTTCCCGTACAGCGCAGCCTCCGGGGCGGTCCACTTGATGGGGAACTTTGCACCTGTAAGAGAGCAGAGCAGACATGAGCATTATTGGGGACAATAACGGGGATTCATTTGGGACAACTTTGCCTTTATTGTTGATAGTACAGCCGCAGAATGACCTACTGTGATGCAGATGTGTGTAGTTCTCCCGAACATTTCAATTATGTTTTATTTCACCAAAGGACAAGATGACAAGGACACAGTCTGAATATGTCTTGGACACTCTGATATTAGCTGTGTCCACTATGGCAAGTGGATGATTCTAGTCCAGTGTCATAAAATCCACAAACACAGCAGAGCTTTTAATCATTCATAATATTAGTAGTAATTAATATTACTACTTGCCATCACAGGTTGTAGGCTATGCGTGCATCCGTTCCTGCACCTTTGTGGACTCTGAGCATCTCTTTCTAATGTGTTCTCATTTTAGTGCTAACTTGGTCTTCAGTGATAATATCTGAGTGCGTTTTTTATGGACTTCGTGGAGCTAAAAGTGCCAGCTGCAGCCAGAAATAAACGCTAAAGTGAGTCACCATTCTTGTTACTGTACGTTACCATGGGTGACGTGACTCTTTGTGTGTGGCTGAACTTATCAGGAGGATGAGAGGGAAGCTGAAAGCCATCACGGACAACCCCTCTCACCCCTCTATGCTGAGCTGAGGCAGTTCAGGAGCACTTTCAGCCACAGACTCATCCAGCCCCGAGCCTCAAAGCGCCTGGGAGGCTCATTTGTGCCATCTGCCATCAGACTCAAAACGCCACAGCGTCTCTCATCTCCACCGACAAACTCCATTTTGATCCTACTCTGACTGTATTTGAGAGTACACACTTGTTATTATTTTTGTATTTGACAGTATATAGTGTGTATATAGTTGTAAATCTACGTAGAATGTTAACTAATTCTACTTATTGTTCTTCTTTTTACATTCATCTGTACTGTGTATGTACATGTGTGTGTACTGTTTCATTCAATGATATGGTTTTAAATGTCCCATACAAAAAGCCGTAATAACCATTGTTCTTTTTATAAAAGGGCCATCAATCAAAGCTTTCTAGTCTGTGAAAATAATCCTAGTGATGTCATAAGGGTTACTGTATCTGTGTTTATGCTCGGAGCCTACCTACATTCAAAAAACATGTCTTGAATGTGTCTCTTGTGAGTCCCTCAACTTTATGGAAGCCCACTAGCAATCACTGTAGTAACCCTTTTAATCTGCTTTTAGGTACAAGGTCTTGTGTGTGTTTTCATTCTGCTTAAGAAGCATCTATTCACTCCCAAAAACACAGAAGTCTGCCTGGCAAAATAAATAGTTTTGACACTATTTTGTCATTTTGCCTTAAACTTTACAGTCTGATGTCAGTGCGCTTTACTGGTATGGTTAACCAGGTTAATGGTGAAACAGAAAATGAACACTGCTTCAGCAACACAATCTGGAGTCAAATGATTAAGATGTACTGCATAAAGTAGCGTTACCTCTTCAGTCCTATCTGAGCCAGTCGCGGGTCACAGAATCAACATGTGATTGTCTAAACTTTAACTTAATTTAAGAGTTAAGGAGAAAATCAAAGTTCAGGAGGTTGGTCACAATTACAAACACGGCTATAAAACTGTGTCATGTTAGGTTGAAGGAATGCAGCAAAATAATTTGACAAATAATTTGACAACTGCATCAACAGGAACAGCTGTTAGGAGGGCTCACGCTAACCAACAGGGAGATGACGGACATCAACAGTACACTGGTGACCAATACAACTACTCTTATTGGCACTTAACCTAATAACCTCCCACATTTGTCAGCCTTTGAAAAAAGCTTAAGAGTGTGTGTTACTGTGTGTACGTAAGTAAACACTGTGTTTTGTTGCTGTATTTCCTCCTGTTTCTACTGCTATGATGACAGGAAATGAGGGGGGAGAGAAAGGCAAGGACCGAACACTGTTCTTGGTCAGTGCCTTAGATTTTTTAAATAGGTTTGGTGTCTTCCGCATTGATGGCTCCTTCCCCAATTAGAAAATCAACCATAGCCAGAATCTAAGTGATGACAAGCATGCACGAGAAAGACACAGCGGTACAGGTGGTTGCAAGTCCACTCAGAGAAATAACAAAACAGCTTATTTCTTTGAGAAAAAAACTTCATAACCCCACGGTCCATTTTCTAGATTTCTTCTGGAGCTTTCAACCATATCTTGTGCCCTTCATCAGTCAGTGGAGACCACGAGATATGGCTGAAAGCCCTGAAAGAATCCTGTAAATGTACCCACAGCATATTAAGTACTATTTCCAAGATCAAGGATGAACCTTTGAGTTCTGCATTACACTTCTTCCTTTCAGGCTGCAGCTGAGATAGCACACGTATTCCCCCAATGGAACCTTTTGCAAGCCCTGGTTTATCGTTTATGCCTGTTGTCGCCAAACATTAAGTTGACTACCACAGCTTCTCTGTTGGCTGAAATGATGTTGACAGGATCTGATTATCAGGATTGAAACACTTCAATGCTCAATACTAAAATAACACTCATTTCTAATAAACATGCTGTATAAACCTGTCGTCTGTCTCTCTGCTGCAGGGAGTGTCTACGTTCTGTTTCAGTGGAACAGTGAGCACATATTTAGAGCTGACTCTGATAGTGACTATTTGCTTCATTTCGTCATTTTCTTGTGGGTTTGTTGCAAATTCCGCTGAGAGAATTTCCTCCATGACCTAATGCGGTCATAGAGTATGTGAATGTGTGTGAGTGGGAGCATTAGGTATGTGAATTTAACATTGTGTGTGCGTGGATGTGTGTGTGTTTGAGTGGGAAGCCCCACCTTGCCGAGCGGTATATTCGTTGTCTTCGATGAGCCTGGCCAGGCCGAAGTCAGCGATCTTGCACACCAGGTTGTCTCCCACCAGGATGTTGGCGGATCGCAGGTCTCTGTGGATGTAGTTCATCCTCTCGATGTAGGCCATGCCTGCTGCCACCTGGAGCACAGCACAGTGACCACGGCTGCATCAACACTCACTGAAAAAAAATCATCTGGGCATTGTATCTGCTGAATACTGCTGTGATCTGCTTCAGGATACATGTGGAGAATAAGAATTCCATGATTAGATTTAAGTATTACTAGTTAACTTTTTGTGAATTGAAAAAATGTATAACTAAGGGCTGGCAGAGAAAACAACATGTCAAGCCAAAATTGTAGGCTTGATTAGGAAACAGTCTTCGTTAAGGCCTCCTGCAACCCCTTGGGCTTTAGAAATGCCAAAGGTTTAAGGTAGCTACCTCATATTTTGACATGTTTTTCATTACACATGCAGACTTAATACATCTGTGCTATTATACATGCAGAAAACTGAAAATCTGGTTAAGGTATCCTGTTACAGACAACTTATTACCTGCTAAAAACTTGGGTCAATATAATATAAGTTATGAAGAAATATGTGTTTTTAAGTGCTGGTGTACTGAATAAAAAGCAGGCGATCTATTTATTAAATTAATCAATAGAACAGATAATGGCCTTGTCTGGAATTACCTGTACTATAACGGCTGACATGGTGAATTCGGCATTATGTACATTTCCACAGCACTGGTTCCGTCAGTGCTGTGCTTAGTTTGCTACTGTCAATAAAAAACTCAGCCCTGTCTGCATGTGTCTTAAATGAAACCCTTCCAGGAATGTTCCCTTCTAGGAAGGGATTACACCCGACGAGCTGCTGGAAGGCTTTAATGATGAATATCTAGACAGCAAGTGTTGGGTTTGATTGATGGTAACTTAACAGCAATCAAAAAACAGAAAAATAAAGCAAAATCTAAATAATCAGGGAAAAAAAACCCTTTCTGTTGAGTGAACATTGGTGAGTAGAGCTGAAATGAATATTAATCACTTAGTCAATTGACAAAAAATGAATTGGCAACAATTTTTTACAAGCGTCATTTTTTAAGCAAAAGTGCCAGGCATTAGTTGGATTCATTTTCTCAAATGGAAGGTTTGATGTTTTCATTGTCATATATGATTGTGAACTGAATGTTTTCCAATTATTTACTATATTAAACAATAGAAAAACTGATCAGCAGATTAATCATTTGTTAGTTGCAGCATAACATGACTCTAGTATAGCACTCAGCACTGACAGCATTCTATCAGTTCAACAACATACTGAATTTATCAAGACAACACGTGAACATGGAGGAATTGTTGAGTTTGCAAACAGTATTTACAGCAACTTAAAACTGGACCAAATTGGAAAACAGGGAGGCGTCTTAGTAAAAAATGATAAAATAAGCCTGTTTCATATAAGGGCCTGATTCTCTTTGTATATGAAGTAGTAGAACCAAAGTGTCACCAAAGTCTGATATATTTTCTGGAAACCAATGATGAGAAACAAGTTTACTATTGCTGTAACATTTATGTACCAGAAACAGACCAGTGACCTCAACACGTAAGTGTCAACATGAAGTTGTTTGATCCAGGTATACCTGTGCTGCCATGTCCACCAGGTTAGGCAGCTTCAAACCTCGTCCTTCTCCATCCTTCAAGAAGTCCAGCAGGCTTCCTACGACAGATAGAAACACATGTCCAGTTCAAGAACACATGCTGACACTAAAGCCATAAACTGTATGCCTTAGATCCATCAGCAAATCATTGCCCCTATTCTCTACAGGAACTGTTTATAATTACCAACCACAAGCAACAATGTGACAGCAGAATGTTTTGGAGACATGTGGTTTGTAATTTGCCTGTTCATGTCTACTTTATACCACCAAAGACAGTTATAGGATAAATACTGAATTGGGGGACTTGTTGATCGCCACAAATACTTTCACACTAGATCTGCTTTTTGAAAACATATTCCTCTCCAGCTTAATGGGCTGACCTACATGTGGCAGCCTCTGCGCGCACATCCAAGTTTCGGTTCTTTCTTGTGGGGTTTTTAAATTCCACTGTTGAAGGCCTTAATCATCTTCAGTCACTTTGAAACAAAGGGCCTACGATACCAGAACAGTTACTATTATTTATAATTGGAATGGAACAAAAACACTTTTGCAAAGCCTGCCTGCATGCTTATGCACAGTGCCATATGCTTAAATACACACTAGCACATAAACAGCCACATATACAGAGTACGGTGCTTTAGATTTGTACATTGTACCGTGCTACTGGAGACATTTTTGCTATTGTGGCAACTTATGTAAAACAAAGCAAAGGGTTGAAAACTAATCCTATACATATTTTGTCCCACAAGCAGCAGGGCTGTCCATGGACCACAGTAATACTGTGTATTTTGACTACATTTACTGCGAGTATTCATGGTCCCCTGAGGATAATTCCAAATTATCTCAGAAATCATTGCTCTTGTACCAACATCAGGCCAACATTTCCACAGCCACTAACATGAACACTGAGCATAACCATGTTTCAGACAGGATGGACCCTTTCCAGGGAGGATACATAAATCCCGCATATTTTAACAAATTATCTTTCCTCTACCATAGCTTGATTACAAAGATTGCAGTAATCTTCTATTCTGGTGGTTCCCAAAGTGAGTGGGGTGTCTTGAGGACAGGGTGCCAAAGGTGCCACAAGATTTGCCACATCATTGTTGTTGTGATCTGTGATTTCAGCGTCTACTAGCATGACCACTCAGAGAAATTATTGCACCTTCTTAGAACATATCACAACATTCAAATCTGTTTTAAACATTTTAAAACAGAAGAGAAAAAAAAGCAATAAATATCAGAGTCATTGTGTTAAAAACTTTGTTTAATATACAGTTATTCTATAGCTAATGACAGGACAACTCAGGGTTGCTGGTTGTCATAGTAAGACAACAGGCTTTCTAGTTTTTCAGGAGCTCAGCAGTCAAAAACACAGAGACCATCACAGCAAAAAAAACCAAACAAACAAAGCTCAGAGATATGCTGATACATCTCAGCCCTCAGCTGCTTGGAGCCAGAGTTTAGGCAGTAGTGATCGGGGCTAAAATAACTTTTTAAATTGACATTTTTATGACTTTCTACAATTCTGTTTTCTGTTTCGATAAAATAGAAGGATTTAATTTAATTTAACTGAATTCATGAAACTCAACAAAATTTCCAAAACTCACTGGGACTGAATGCTTTTCCAAAGAACTGCGTGCATGCATGCAAATAAGCTGTATATATGTACGTGTTTATCTACCTTTGCCCATGTACTCTGTGACGATGTAAATGGGCTCCTCTGACACCACAGCGTAGAGCTGCACCAGCTTGTCATGGCGGAGTTTCTTCATAATCTGAGCCTCCTCCAGGAAGGACTCGGGGGACATGGTGCCAGGCTTCAGAGTCTTCACTGCCACCTTAGTGGTGCCGTTCCACGTTCCTGGCACACGCACACACATGCTGGCATCAATACGGGGGAACATCGATTCATATGAAAATCACGTCATTTCAAAGTCAGACTTGACAACCCTGCTGTCTACCGTCAAGAGATGATTGGCGGCTGAGGGCTGACTGTAGTCAAAAACAGGGGAAAAGTCTTGCTTTGAAATGACAATGAGGTAAACATGCAACACAGAATGAGATCAGGAGACAGTATGAGAATCAGCTCGTCTGTAAATCTCATACACAGAGGTTGTGCTGAAGGATAATTAATGGGTATGAGATTTAAAGTGGACCTTGATTTAAAATGGCTTTTATAAGCCAGGAGGGGGATCTGGCAGGGCTTTGAGAGCCACAATACGCCAGCACGGCAGCAGATAATCCTTTGTAGGATGATTAACAAGCCAGTAAGCTCCTCAATGGGTGTATGCCAGCAGTTACTGTCACACAGCATGGCTATGCCACCAATGTGCACTGCATCTACACATATGATATGGATCACGGTTATCACTCCAATAAAGTAGTACTCCATTTATCTCATTCTGTGACAGTAATGGATGCAGAGATATTAGTAGTGACCCGAAGGGAAGACAGAGCCCATCAACAACATTTGGTGTGTGTGTTTGGTTTTCATTTAAGAGTAAGCTCATAAATCAGAGTAGGCTTCTTCAGTGATGCCACTTTGCAGACATTTTGGGAGTCGGGACTGAGCAGGTGATGGTCACCTGCTGGGTTGTGAAGTATTAGGATCCCAGAGTCTGGGTGTCACCCTATCCTCAGTATCTATCCAGCTGAAATATGACAAGAACACAAACCCTCATGTTCTGCAGTATGGAAGTCCAAAATGGCCAACACTAAGCATTAGGAAATAAGTAATCATATGAATGAAGAGAGTTAAACATGTATATAAAAATGAGAAAAAGGAATTGTGAAATACATTAAATTCTTACATCAACATCAACTTTTGCATTATAAATAGATTCATATTGGACTTCAATCAGCGCACGCCTGTACCTAGAGCAACAATGCCAATGCCAAGTAATTAGGAAACAACCAACTAGCTGCTGCTGTAAAAACAGTTTACAGAGCATAACTCCCTCTCTTATGATTTAGCTTAACAAGGCTGCAGATGCGAACTAGCTAGACAGCTAGGCCTAGCAGCCTAATCACTTAAGCAGTTTTTTGATTTTAGACGTGTTCCTTAGAGAAAACTTTCTTTGGTTGGTTGGGTTTATATACACTGTTTGCTTCTACATTTTATTCCATTATAGTCATTCATTCACAATGTCATTAATATTTATTTAATACTGACCATTTTGGAGTGTCATACTGCGGAGCGCACTCAATAAATTACTGGAAGAAAGTAGAAATTTGTATTTATAAATAGGAACTGACTTTCAAAGTGTTTTTGTGCGCACAAAAATCCTGCAGGAATGCTGGAGAGGGTGAAGATTGTATTTGCTTTTATCTCCAATTAGTAAACAAAACTGCAATGTGTTTCTTGGCACATTTAGGAGTGCAAAATCTTCCCATTTATCTCAAGAGTGGCCCAAGGTGAAAACTTAGCAGGGTCCTTTTTTGGTAGGATTTCCTTACCGTAAAACACATCAGCAAAACATCCAGTCCCCAGCTTTACTTCCAACTCAAGTGCGTCTCTGCTGATCTCCCAGGCATCATGACTCAAGCCCACAGTGTCAGGGATGTAGTTCACACACTCGCCCGTTAAATTAAAGCACAAACCATCCGCACTCTCTACAGGGGGAGGGAAGGGAATGCATACAGGGTTAACTACCAGGGAGAGGAACATGCAGTGAGGGACATGGAAGGGAGCCATCTTTAGACTGTGAGAACAGAGTCTCCTGACACACTGGATGTTTTTCCAGATGATTTTGGGAGGGTGGGGTCAAACTCTAATCATTTTCCTGGCAAAAGCCCTAAACTGAGAATTATTAAAATCTCCTGCCCCATTTTCTCATTTGATCCCCTCTCCTTCCAGGCCAGATTATTTGCTTGTCTTTTTGGAGTGAGTCTCTGCTAGCTCAGTGTGGCCCCTTCCGTGCAACCTCTTCTTCCGGAGACGACTAGATCCGTACCCATCCAGACCTCCCCAAACTGCCCATTCCCAAGACGCTTGATGAGCTGCAGCGACTCCCGTGGGATCTCCCACACGTCTTTGGTTTTGACAGACAGGTCGGCGAGGCGGGGCATCCCTTTGTGGCAGGGAACCACCAAGCGACAGCAGAGCCCAGCGGCTCGATCTGCACACGCCGCATAGCAACGCACAAATAAGAGCATAAAGAGGTGTACAGAGAGTTAGCAGAGCAATGTGCAGGAGAGGGGAAGCCTCAAAGCAATATGACAACTAAAAACAAGGACAATGCAGAGCAGAGTAAACATGATTGTCATTTTGGTTGTCAGAAGTTGGCACTGTTGAGTTTTGGCAAGAAATGACGTTACGTTACAGTCCATTACTAAAACATATTACTTATTATTTTCACTGTTCCTTCATTAATACAGATATAAACTGAATCTACTGAAATGTTCTCTTTGAATTTGATCTGTATATTATGATTTGCTGTGTGATCATTTTGGTTGCTGTCTAGCATCTTGTAAGTCCAAACAGGCTGGGACTCCAGCTGCTTCCATTTCGATCCTCTCTATTGGCTGTGTGTGGTTGTCACTTCAGCAGATGACACCATGTCATCTGTGTCATGAAATCAAACATCTCTTGCTTTTACTCTGGAGGAAGCTCTCATGTTTGCCTGAATTGATTAAACCAAGGGATTAGGGCAGAGTTTCCGTTGGTACTTCCATGCTGATATCTAGAGAGGATTACCCCCCCCCCCAATACTGCAGGCACAAAGTGACCCCCCTTCCTCCCCGCTGGCAGAGATTAGGAAATCCGTTGTTTGCACAGGGCAGTAAAGACGAGATAAAGACCCGCGTCCCACGCGTGGGAGTGTTCTACCTGCAACTCGGCCATCAAAACCCATCTGGGCTGGCTGCCTGCTGCCTCAGCTGCTCCACCCAGACATCAATACAGCTCTATGTTCCCTCTGCTGACTGTCATAAAGCCTGTCAATATGTGGACCACATTCACACACCGAACAACAAAACAGTCAGTGTTTCCTAGGAAGGCGTGGTAGCTTCAAATGATTTATTTTGTGCCTTGATCAGATTTAATAAGTTAAATCCATTATTCCCTGATGATTTATTTTAAAAGGAACCATATGTCAGCATTTGATCTTTGTGTTGCTGCTGCAGCCAGAGCAATTCATCCAACTTGTTCCAACATTCAGTTAGTGATTTCCTCATAAAAAACATTGTAGGTCGTCCTGGTAGCTCAGTTGGTAGAGCGTGTACCATGTATCAAGGCTGAGTCCTTGCTGCAGCCGCCCGGGTTCCAATCCGGCCCAGGCCCCTTGCTGCATCCCATCTCTCTCTCCCTGCCTTTCCTCTCTCTCTCTACTCTATCAAATAAACCCAGAACAGTTGTTTTTTATGAGTGAATCAAAGTCACTATGCTAATTTATGAGATGCTTCTTTAATCAATAACCAAACCTAAGCAGTTTCCATTTATAACTTTGCCAAGTGGTAGTTTAAAAGAGGTCCTGATCTTACCCTGGGATAATGACTGCACCGCTTTTAGCTAGGACTGTCTCGTGTTCCTACAAACAAAAACTTCAGCAATCACAATCTTTCAAAATGCTATAATCACATATATTTACAGTAGCTTTAAAGCTTGACTACAGTATGCAACTTTTGCCCTTTCATTCTCTTTAATTACAATGGGCTTGCGCATGTGCGACAAAATCAGTTTATTTTGCAATTGACCTATCTCACGATGTTAATGAAAGTGAAAAACAATCTGTGTATCGTGATTTGGATCCAGTCTAAATGTAATGGCTGCATCCTTGGCACATGCTTTACCCTTCCTCCAAGTTTCATATAAATCAGGCCAGTAGTCTTTCAATATTGCTGCTGACAGACAAACAAACAAATAAACAAATGGCACAGAAAACACAAAATTTACTAACTGATGGGATGGTGAGTCAACTTTTTGGATTTAATTACAATTTAACTTAGTATGATATATGAATATTAAAGAACAATATCGATCCATTGTTTGCTAACATTAGCTAGCATTAGCTCCTGGTCATACTAGCCCAAGTGGTTGTAGCAGCAAAACCCCTGAGTGTGTTGAATTTAGCAAGGCTGGTTTATTGCTTATGAATTACTTATGAAATACCTTTTTATTCGTAAATGGAAGAATTGGCTATTTTTTCTGGTTTTAAATGTGATGTTGGCAGCCTAGTTGATTCTCAAGCCCATGTGTTGTTCCTTTCTCATTCGTTCATTTGCATCTGGAGAATAGCTACATTATATGATGCCACACATGCTCTTTAAAGACACAGAATATAGAGGAAAGCATAAAGCAATAAAAACACAGGCCTTGAAAAGAGTCAAGGTTATTTGCAAATACGTGTTGTCGGCTCCACACGTCATCAAGAGGGACGATAAAATGTAGAGTGACTAATGAATGGTTAATGTGCCATGACACAAATACATACAGAAAATCCATGGTGTTGATTTTGGGGCTTAAACACTGATGTGTCAATGTGCCAATTAGAGCATGACAGGAAAAATATCCTCTTCTCAGTGAGAGGGAGACAGAGGATGAGAGTGATACAACAGAAAACATGTAACACGGACTCCGAGAAATAGAGTAAGAGAAGCAAATGAGATCAAACTTGAGGAAGAGATGGGGAGAAAAAAAACACAGCCCGCATGAGTACAACTAAGGACAATAATCTCTCATCCTGCAAATGTGATTATGAAATATGTGTCAGCGGCACAGATGCAGCGGTCATCTCCTGACAGCACTCACAGCCAGGAGGAACAAGCTCAACACAAACATCTGGATGAGCTCACAGTGACAGAGTCAGACATTATGCTTATTGTTCACTGCTCAATAGTACAGGATTAAAAATGAATGTGAATCTAAATAAATACATAAAGATGCATGTAAGGCAGCAAATGAAATTAATTTGACATAGAGTGGCTTTCCATCTCTTTCTGTATGTGCGTCATGGTAAGTAGCACCTTTTATTCCTGTATGTGAAAATGTGCTGGCAGACCAGATGCAATTATGGTGTAACAGTGTCTGCTTAATGCATTTTGGATCAATCAAGGAAATGGACATTGGACAGAAGAAAAGACTCTGACGTTGCTATTTGGGCTTGTGCAAATGGGGCCACAGTGTCAACGCTCTGTCTCCATCATGACAAATCTCCTTATGACAACATCTGTTTCCCTTTTTAATGGAGAGTGGGCAATGCAATCCTTCATATATTTTTATTCTGGGCCACATTGCAGCCAGACTACCAAGGGACAGCATTGGTGGATTTCATATACGTATCATATTCTTTCAGAGCTGTAGGTTTTAAGCCGCACCAGGCAATAACTTGCTGCAAATCACATAGATCAAATATTTTGAGTTGGCTTTGCATCAGTGATGCAGCTTATCAAACCAAATTCCAGAGATCAGCTGTGGTCAAAAGCTTAAGAAAACCCCCAACATCCTGCAAACACTTTACAGACATGATGCCGCCTAATTTCTGGGTAATGAAGTCTTTCAAACATTCAAGGCTGCTCAAGTGTATAAAAGTCTTGCTTATATTTACATGTCCTTTTATGTCTATATTTGCTGCTGTTTTCCTCTGCTTCTGTCCAGAACACATCCTAAAATGAACCACAATATATTACGGGTGGGGGAAAAATCGATACAGCATAGTATCACAATATTTTCCGTGGCAATATTGTATCAATACACGGACATCAAGTATCAATATTTTATTATATAAATTGTATTAGTATTTTGGTACTATAATAATAAAATCAGTTGCTTTTTCAGTTCACTAGAAAAAGAGTTTTCCTTTGGGTACACAATTTGAAGTTGGAAAAAAAGGTAATAAATTGCAATATATCGCAATATTTTAAAAATCGCCATAATATCATGACCTAAGTATCGTGATAATATCGTACCATGGGGCCTCTGGTGTTTCCCACCCCTACAATATATCCTAAAAATAATGAGGATACGTCCTTAAGAGAACTATAAAACATAAAACTGGAAGATGAACTAGTTTTAAACTAACCAAAATATATCCTAAAATTTATCTGAATATGTTTCATTCTGAAATGGCCAGAATATGTTTCACATTTAACCAAAATACATGGAAAACAGTATAAAATAACCAGACTACAACCTAAAACTAACCAAACTGTGTTCTAAAAAGAACCAGATTACATTCTAAAATCAACCAGACCAGTAAAATGGACCTTTACAAACAAAAACAGTAGTATTGTATTACGTAATATTATTTAGTCTGCCGCCTAAAATCAACATCCTGAAGTGTCACCTAGATACAAAAACAGTCTAAAGCTTAGTATTTATACCTGAGTAGTGCTGAACCAGCTGCTGCAGCGTTTCAAACTGAGCCCTGGTGGTGATGTAGTAGCCGCCGCTGTCCAGCTTGCGAATTTTATAATGCTTGACATGGTCTCCTTTCACATCGTCCCAGTCCCGTATGGACAAGGAGAAAGCACCTGGGGGACAGATCAGTGGGTGAGTCACTGAACATCAACAACTTGATCGAAGAATAATTCAACAAGCATTCAGCTCTCACTTTAAATGCTTGACACTTGAAAACCTGCTGCCAAACTATTTGGTTCTCAAAATGTACTCCAAAGTTGTAGCTAACACACTGCTGGAGTTCACAAAACGCCACGCGGGAAATATCAGGACTCTGCCACAGGTTCTACTTTTAATTACACTCTCAGGCTGATGTGAGTGGTTTTTCTTAGTTGACAGTGTGAGTGTGTGGTTATACCCTTTGTGGTTTCACTCTCCCGGATGAGATAGGTTCCTCGAGGGTTGCCAGTGGACAGCAGCTGCCTCTCTGCATCCTTACGGCCCAGTTTACCAAAGTACCAGCTGTAGCAGAAGAAAACAAGTTAATTAGAACAGCAGAAGACCTTGATTTTGAGCTTTTTTGGCTAGCTTGCCACGCAAGTTTCAAGTAACACTATGCTGATGCTGCTGCTGCTGCTGCTTGGACTAGTCAGTAATATTGCTATGTCTTGTGTTGTTGCACTTGCTTGATGTTTGGCTGTGTAAGCAAAGTTTTCATCTTGCTGGTTTCTGATTGTAATGCAATCATAACAAATGCACACGTACAGCTGTCCTTATTTATCTTCCATAATGTTGCTTTAAGACTTAATAATGTGCATGAACTTTATTTATTAAAAACACAGCTTGTGATCAACACATTCCAAAGAAGGCTGCTCAGCTCTGTACAGATGCTGCAAAGGTTTTTCCTGCTCCTAACTGGTCCCCATAACACATTAGTGTTTTCCCCTGACTGAGCCAGGCTGACTGTCCGTACAAAAATAACATACTTATAGTTCAGTCTGTGACAATCCCACCAGTCAAGTTGTCTAAGTTTTACAGCTGTTTGTTTTATAATCAATATATAGTATATGTGAAAACATTTTTATTGATCCCAGGATGTTACCTGAAGGTCCAGCATTAGCCAGAAAATGGAGTCTGGATATTGTTGGCGCCCGGAAGATAAATCTTAATATTGACCTCCTGACTTTTGCTCTAGTGATCTAGTGATAAGGCCAAAATTTACACTTGGCAAGAAATACATGTATGCACAAAAAAACATAGACATTATAAAATGTATTGGGTAGACTGCTGTGACCTTTACTGAGCACATTCATACTTCCTAAATGATTAACCACTTTCATCCTGGACACTGATTTTCCTCTTTAGCTCCATGACGATGACTAGCAAAATTATCAGTAGGTTGTTCATTCGGTCCAAAACTAGGGCCTGCTAGTGGGGCTTTACACTTTTAGCTTTGATGTAAATGAATCAGGTCTTTTGGTTTGTATATTAGCACTTTAACACTAACCCGACTGCTTGTCTGGCGTATGGACTGTGACTAGTTCTGCTGCCTTCGTCCCTGCAGATCTGTGTGAATGGACAGGACTCCCTTGTAAAAGAGACTCTGTCTCAATGGGACTTTCCTTAAATAAAATAAAGCTTATATATGTATGTGATTGTTTAGTCACAGTATGAAAACCTGAAAAAAAACTTTATTTCTATTTTTTATTCCTAGCAGGGGAAGTAGAAACCTCCAATTACGATTACTTGTTTACCAACATGTTTCTCATTAAACTGCAATCATATACAATAGTCAACATTGAGATAGAGGTAAAAGTTTAACTTATTTTTATTACATCTTTTGAAACCTAATTTCAAAGTGGTTTTCACATGCACTGAAACTACAGTGAGAGAAGGAAAAAAGGCAGAGGAGCTGTGAGCAGTTTGACACCAAAGTGCATATTTCACAGAGGTACTTCTGTGTTGCACCGACTCCTCCTCTCTTTTTTTAATCCCAGCATGCTCCAGTGGGCTCATAATAAGATTCTACCTCACAGTGAACTGAATGAATCTTTATTCAGAAACTTTAATCTGACTGAACCGTCTATGCGGGGGAAGGTGGTTCAGGTCTGTGGAAGCACTTGATGCTACACACACACAGACAAAACTACACGCAGATTAAAAAAAAAAGGAAGATTAAAATAATTTTCCTTCTATTGATCATATGTCAGAGTGAATCTTAATGATTAAGGAGGAAATACATTTCCCTGCTAAACTCTATTAACTGTTAAATTGAAAAAATCCCCAACTTGGATATATTTACCTCTCACTCACTTGGCATTTCAAATTCAAAATCCTTTTATTTATCTACAGTGTCATAAACATGTCATTTTTCCACCATGCAGGGAAAGTAAGAACTGTGATGATATTAGACAACTTTTTCTCCTGAATTTCTTTCCTCGGAAGGTTACGTCTGCACATGTGCGGCCTCGCGTCATTCACACACACACACATACACACAGACTACATACTCCTCAGCCTGGATGGAGTCCACTGGAGCCACGTAATTACTGGGAATGTAGCCACTGCCACCAGTGGTGAGCGAGCGAGCATCCCACCAGTCCCCTTCACTGAAAGCGAGAGAGAGAGACAAAGGGGAAAGAGGAGAAACAGAAGAAGCACATTAATACACATTATTTCATATGAGCTGACATCCTCTGTACCACTGAACACATCAAAGTACAGCTTTAGTTTGACTTGTTCCCAAACACCGTCCATGAAAAACATTAGTAAAGCAGAGGGCAACATAGTTGAACACACATTTTAAATCGTTATAAAAAAAGTTCACAGTTTGCTGTATTGCCTTTGCAAGAGTGAGATGAGAAGATTGATCTCGCGTCTGTGGTTAATGCAGAGCTGCCGTCAGGATGTGGTTAGCCTAGCTTAGCATAAAGACTGGAAGCAGGGGGAAACGGCTAGCACGGTTGAAGTGAAAAAAAAAAAAAGAAAGCGCTCATCTTTCTGGGTGGGTGTGTGTGTGTGTGTGTGTGGGGGGGGGGGGGTCGCATTCTGTAACTGCTGCTTAGTTAATAACAGCTTGGCGCATTGCTGTTGTTCACCTTTAGCTCCAACATCCCCTCTCTGTAACATTAACAGGTATTATTTTTATATTTCTTTTACTATATGTTTTAAATAAACAAGGTAAATGTGCGCATTAATCTGAGGTGTAGACAGACATTTTGTTTTTCACTTAGGACAAGCCCAAGCTAGCTGTTTCAATGTAGCTTAGCTATTTTCCTACATTCTTGGTACCGTTCTTTCAGCTTCTGCACTTAATTGTTGATGTGACGTTAGTGACACATGAACTGAAGTTTAGCAGCTTTTAAAAAGGGTGTCTGCTACATGTCTAGAAATTGGAAAAAGGGCAGAGGAAGAGAAGCTCTTTAAAGGCCTCTTAGCCTGGACACCCACACAGCCATTACTGTCTTTCTCTGAAGTGCATCTCTTCCTCCCTAACCGCCCGCTCTCTTTGGGCCCATCCATCCGTCACTGCATCCCTTAAACTCTTTCATCTGTCTTTCATCTATTCCCACTTTCTGACACTCTCTGAGTTAGAAAAAAAAATCCATCACACCTCCCCCGTCCTCATATCTTATCATTTTAAAAGCGGAGATTCCGTTAATTTGGCCACATTCATAGAGGTACTTGGACAGTCTGAGTTTGATCACAAACATTAGCATGAGAAAGTGAACTTTCACAACTTTGAAATGAATGGGAATTCACTCATTATCTGCTACAATATTAATATTAGACTTTTTTTTTTAAAGGAAAGGGTAAAGTAATGTAGCACTTTGAGTCCACTAAATTTAGTGGCTTTTTGTGAAGTCCTATATGAAGTGACTATACAGTATGAAGTGACTGACAATCTGTCCAGCTTAGAGGAGAAATCAATCATAAAACACTCAGACTGAAATGTTATTTGGTGTTTATTTTGCTCCTTGCAAATAAGTCAAAACCAATATAAAGTGTCTCAGTAAAGTGCTTCTGGCCTCCTCCGTAGAGCAATGCGCTCCCCTTCCCTGTTTTACTAGCTATTGTTATAAATATTACATATAATAATACACATTTCAAAATGTCTGTATTTCGCAATTTCCTTGATAATTAAGAAAGTAGACTTATAGCATCATTTGTTCCATTATAAGCGAATCGCAAATCGCAATATGATTTTTTTCTCCAAATCGTGCAGCCCTAGTTTATATCCTTCATTTTTTCACTTTCAGTCAAATGTCAAAGTAACACATTCTTGGTTTTGATCTTTTCTTGAGATTTGTTTCAGATATCAAATAGCATCCTTTAAACAAAGTAGAAGTGGATTAGTCTATTTTGTTAGTAAGATCCATTTATGTTTTTATCAAACTCCTACAGACACTCTCCCCTCATTTCTCTGTATTTAAATTCCTCTCTTCTCCTCGCCTTCTCTCTTCATTCCCGTCTTTACTCACTTCAGTATCTGGCTGCCTTAAGAGACAGCTAACAGAAGTGGTTCACCATCATTACCGATGCTTTCACATGAATGCGCAGTCACACATGAACATTTCCTTCCCCACATCTCGGTGCTTTGACAATGTCTCTCTGACACACTGTACCACCCGGTGCTTGTTTCTATCACATCCCTCATACACCAGGAGGGAATGTCGGTGTTGGTGTGTTTGTGTGTGTGAAAGGGATGCTAAATACAGAGAAAGAGACAGAGAGAGAAAGGAGTGGAGGAAGGGAGAGGAGAGGCGTTTTTGGTCCTTCATTTATGCTGAATAAAGCCATGATGGGGGATCGCCTGGGGACAACATCCCAGGCAGAAACAGGCCCGCTTGCCTTTGTTCATGGAGAATCCCCCAGGAGGGAGGGGACGGCGATGGAGTCTCAACAATCTGCCTTCTGAGAGAGAAAAGTACGCAGGAACGGGAGGATGTGTTTGTGCGGTGTAAGATGTGTTGGTATGTGTGTTTGGAGAGATATAAACAAACGTCAGTCTGTCCCGCTGCCTCTTTTGTCTCCAGAAACAAACCCTTAAACCAACTCTGCTCTGCCGCAAAAAGACAGAAAACAACAACAAGAGTAAACAAAGAACCTCCCTCCTGTCTCCAAATGGATTTAAATCCTCTCTCCCCATGGGGACTGCTGATGACAGAATAATTAAACACAGAACTGTGTTGAGTGAGAGGAGTCATACGTACAGGCAGCCATTCACAACACAACATAAATCAGAACTGTACTAATTTAATTAACTTGCGGTGTAGACTTGTAGAATTCTGTAAAAACTGGAGCTATTTCCTGATTATGTCTGCAGGAGCTTCACAATAAGACACTCACAGGGGGTTATAAAAAGCCTGAGCTGAATGCAGTGCCTTATAAACATTCAGGGATTGAATCCCGTTTCCTGGAGGATGAACAAAAAGGGACAACAGTGCCTTCTGTCAGCTGAGACAGTGGTGCTGGGATCTCTGGTGGCCCTGTTTCACGTGAGCCCTGCCTGGTGGGGCATCTGTCAGTCACTTCCCGCCAACTCTGACGGGCTGAAGCAGATGAGGATTTTAAGCTTTTACCACCTCTTTCCAGCAGGGGTCAGTGTGGCTGGATGGAAGAAGCCCAGTCCATATTAGAGACACATTGAAGCAGTGAGGCGTGGGTGGATGGAGGGAGATGGAGAGGAGAGAGGAAGGAAGGAAGGAAGGGAGAAGTCGTGAAGATGCAGCTATGTCTGGCCCCTGCTGAAGAGGAGGAGGAGGAGGTAGTGTAGGCTGTAATGATGGTGTCTTCCTGATCTGGCTGAGGCCCAGCAGGGACAAGGTGTGTGGTGGAATGTTCAAGACGCCGCCTGGGACAGGATGCTATACGGGTGTGGTGAGGAGGAAGACTAACTTTGCTAGGCCAAAGACTGAGGATATAAGGCAGCCATGTACAGTGGAGCTGGTGTATACAGCATCCACATTTTATATTTGAGACACTATGCTTGTGTGAAAGCTCAGTTTGCGCTTGTTTAGAGGAGTCCACTAATACAAACACAAGTGCTGTGTTAATATTATTCTGACTAAAATTAGAACTACATGTATTAGGGTCAAAGACGAGACGTGTCCATTTTCTGTCCTGGGGTATTTATGTTTTGTAAACCCTTTTTTTGCCCTGGATATCACCTCTCAGGCTGCCCTACAGAACCAGGTCTGTAGTCTGGATTTTAATTTCCTAATCATTTCCTATGTTGATATAAACAGCATTCCCATAGTTTCACTTGATAAACTGACTTCATTTTGAAACTAAACTGAGGCCTTACACTTAGTTATCAATAATTCATGGTAATAATAGGGCTGCCAATACTGTGTCAGTCCACTGGCTGTGTGTTTACCTATTTGCGCATAAATCAGAGATCTGGCAGTGTAGTGGCGGCTACATGCAGGCAGTCTGCTTCATTATGAAACAACCTGCCGCCTCTCTGCAGTGCTGTACATGCACTGAGCTGCCTACTAACAAAGAAAACTAAAGGAGAATAGGGTCAGAGCACAGACCCAGCAGTCACCCGGCCTCCTCAAATGTCACTGCACCAACGCAGAAGCCCAAACCGAGAGGCAGCTGAGGGTCACTCCAGCAGTGTGGACAGAAAAAAAATGAAAAGCATTCACTCGCTAGCTGAGGCTGGGAAGAGTTGGCAGGTGATCGTGCCGCTCCTCCCATCCACACACACACACACACACACACGAAAGACTAGCCAGCATCACTGTATGTATAACAGGGAACTTCCTGTCTAAGCTCAGAGGGAATTCTTAAAGCAACGCCACGCTGCTGACCTGCAGACCCTGCTCCACCCTGTGTAAACTTATAGTGTGTGTTTTAATGCTGATTGTTATATTGCATGTTCAAGCCACCCCTTCTAACTCATTTGAAATGCTTTGCACCCTCTAATATTGTGAATATATAAATATAAAGTTGCTTCTTAACAGTTATCATGGGATCTAAGCTGTTTTATCATCATAACAGGAAGTGTAACATATCATAATGTTACACTTTCACAAACTAAAGTAAAGCAGGCTTATTTTGTGCTGTAGCTTGTTCCAGATGATGGAACCAAAACCCTTCTTTCCCCTGTACAAGCTGCCACTTTCACCTCAGCTGAAAAGCTACGCCCTGTCTGCTCCACTCCCAGCAGCACCATGCCCTTTCAGAGCATTCCTCCCAAGTGCAGGCAGGCTGATAAGCAGCTGTAGTGACTTACGTGCTGTTGATAATCTGGAACCTTTCTCCTTTCCTGAAGCTGAGGTCGTCTTCTGTCCGTGCCTCATAGTCATAAAGTGCCACAAAGAGGGTGACTCCTGCAGGGGGGATAAAAACACAGAGTCAGCACTCGGAAGATTAGCGAGAGAAAATGAAGCTCAGATTCATGTTTATCTGATGACACACTGGCAGCAGCAGCACACTCAGTGGTTTGAATGTAAGTCAGTCATGTTGAATTTAATGGGAACTCAGGCGATAGTTGATGAGGAAACTGAATGAAAGCAAGCCACTCAGGAAGCAAAGGATATTTCAAAGGTGTTACCCAATAATGAAACATTAGTATTGCATATTTTAACTGGTAATGTTTATATTTCTATTATTAATTATTATTATTAGCATTAAATTGCAATGTTGGTCCTGCTTGTTCCACTAATTTAAAGACTGAAATATCTAACTGCTGGATGGATTGTAATTCAAATCTGGTACAGATACTGCTGGTTCCCATAGAATGAATGCCTATGACTTTGTTGTTCCATGGACTCTAGTGCCACCGTCAGTTGAAGTTTGAATGAAATGTCTCGACAACTATTGTAGATAATTTTGTTTCTCCTTTCCTACCTAGATTAATTTTGCCAGTCCAGTGAGTAGACCAGCAACCAACCATTTTTGCACATTTCTGAAATAATTTGAATGTCATCCTCGAGCTCTATTTTTTCATCCTTCACAGAGCTACCACCATGAATGCCTTTAAAGGGTGCCCATTTGCACAATTGACTGCTTCAAGCCTACATAGACTTGTAGAGAATTCACAGAGACCAGGGGGGCAGTGAGATGCAACCACGGGGTGGCTAATACAGCAGGCTTTTTGCCAGGCCTTCGCGTATGATCATTCATTACATCTATAAACCCCTTGCGATGTGGGCAGACAACAAACTACTTAGTTTCAAGCATGCTAAACCCCTCCATTTTGAAGTACTGTTAACATTTGCTCTCTGTAATTCTTTGCCACTACATCTTTCCTGTGGTAGAATTGGCTTTGTAATGGCAGAGTAACCTTTGCAGAGTCTACATTCTTTTCACAAAGTACCTGATCTCCCTTTACTAATCCTACTAATTTTGCAATCATCACAGGGGTAAAAGAATAGCAGCTGTCGTTTTAATAAATCTCAGTAGCATTTATCTGGCAGGAATATTTTCTCACCCATACACTCATGTTTATTGCTTCCTTGTGGCAAACGCACTGAAGGAATTTAGGCTCACTGTAGGACGTGTTAACAGCGTGTTAATCGCAGCAGGAGCTAAACAATTCAAATGAAGTTGTGAGGTGGAGAAAAACCGTTGAACTACCCTGTTAGGTGTGGTGGGTAAAACATAAATATAACAAAACAGTCCATGGTGACAAAAAAGAAAAACATTTAGTGAAGAAATTAACCCAGAGGTGTGAGATACTGGGGGCCTAAATAAACGTAAAATTAAAATTATGCTTACTTTCAACTGGGGTGACAGGGTTATCCAGTATTTCGAGAACTCCAATTGTAATTGAATTCACTGTCTAAGCACTATCAGTGAATAAGACGCTGAACTCTTTCCTGGTTGCGTTGATGTGTGTTTCTCTTAATGAGACTACTTGCTACCAACTAAGCAATCAAGTCAACACACTGACAAACATACTTTTTTTTAAATCCCAACACTGTACAATAATGTCCGCAATACCACAAAACAGATCGGGATGAATGAATTTGGATATTAAGACCATAATGTCATCTAGGAAACATGTACTGACTTCATATTTCTAGAAAGGTGGTCTCATGGTGGTTGCTGCTCAGGCAGGAGACACGTTACATGATCACACAGACTTATTAATAATTTTAAATATATATATACAGTATAGTATACTGGAGCATATATATATATATATATATATATATATATATGCTCCAGTATACTTTGGATCTTTTCTCTGAAGTCTCTCCTTGATTGGTTAGGTTGCCTTACTCTAAGAGCACCAGACAGCTCTTCCTTTATCTAGTACCCGTTTCCTTCATCAACAGATGAGGGCCGCACAAAGAACGTTCAAAGTGATTAAAAGCTCTTGAAAAAGAAGGTTAGTAGACCATGAGTCAATATTATTTTGGCAAACAACTATATCAAGGTCAAACTTTCTGGGGAAAGCCAAAAGTTTATCTAGATAATCAAAACCAATCTTTTTTGAGGTAAAACTGAACGTGAGCGCACCCAAAATGCAAATAAATCCTCACTGCCCAGGAAAACTGTGCGCACGCAGATAGTTTAGATAAAACCTTTATCGTTTACCTTTTCACTTTCATATTAATTTGACTAATCTGTTTGTTTTAATAAACTGGAATTATCCTTTAAGAGGTTTGGACCTCTATCTATCTTACCATCTTTAGTTAGCTTGATTTGTCTTGAAAACAAAGGACATAAGATGAGACAAAAGCAACACTCTAAGTGTTTTGCTCAGGTTTGAGGTGAGGCTGTTAAGCTGTTCTTCTGTTCTAATGCTTCTGAGTGTTTGACAAATGGAAGTTGAACAGGCACTTCCACTGAAACTCTCTTGATCACATTTATTCAAATCATTTCACTTCAGACACTCTCACCAGCCCGAGGCTTTCTGGGAAACAGTGTTGATATGAAGAGGCTATGCGAGGCTTTTGCTGATAGAACTACAGATAAGAGAGGACCTGCTGCTATTCATGTGATTTCAAACAGCGAGCCGGGAGAGCAGACTGTCTTATTGAAACACTTTGGTTTTCTAACCATTAGAACATAACAAGACCCTGAATGCATCATTCGAATGTGGTTTGCAGTGTTTTTTCCATTAGGTCAGCCGAGGTGGACGCTAGGTATTTGGTTTATTGATTCATTCAAGAGTTGTCTGCTGGAATTAGTTACATAAGGTCACAGGAAAAGGTGTGAATTTCCATTTGGGGAAATGACATAAGCAAAAGATCAACTGATAATCAATAATATGTCTGATGCCAACTGCAGTTTGGGTTGATGCAGTTTGTGGCTGTTAAAACAGAGGTTGAGAGGAAAGGGTGGCTTATGTCCAAATATCCCCAGGAGTAAATTAAAATGCTAAACCGCTTTCTGCTCCTCTACCCCTGTGTGGATCTGGATTATACAGCGCAGAAAATAATCCACACTTTGAGGGAGAGGACTCCTGCTAAGTTGAGTGGAAATGCTGAGTTCCTCTGCAGAGGAGCCTGGGCTCGGTCAAACATAAAGGATATCCTGAGTAGGAATATTCCCTACCCAAACAATGGGCCGGCACACAAAGCCCTGCGCTAATGCCAGCCGGACGTTCCTGACAGGGCCGGGCTGGGGTCGGCAGTGGAGCTATAGCAGGGGCTGTGAGGTGAGGATTGTCAGGATTATGGGATGCCATAGGAAGTCTTTAACTGCACAAAGAATCCCTTTTGCATACGGAGGTGTATGTGTGTGGGTGGCTGTGAGCTATCACTGTGCGCATAGAATGCTGTAACTGTGTGGGAATGATCTAAAAAGAAACTACCTTCACACTCTTGTATGTGTTGCAGATACTGTCCTTCTTCTGACAAACAATTGCTCAAAGTAACTTACAAATAAATGTCTTCCTTGTGTTATTTATTCTTTGCTAAATGCCATTTCTCCGTCCTAGCTTTTACTGTCTCTCGGAGCACTTGCACCTGCAGAGATGCTGAATGGCTTGACCACTAATTTCTTTAGATTTTTTGTAATTTTTGGTGAGCCAGGAATGGGTCAGTGTTTGACTTTCCTTCGAACACTGACCCATACTGGCACCCCAGGAAGGTGGCCAGTACAAGCACAGTCTGATCTGTTGGCCACTGAGCAGCTCCACTGGTGCATTTGAGGTTCAAGGGTCTTGCTCAAGGGCACCACAGTGGTAGGAATGGAGGAGGGGCTGCAGCTGTTTCTATTCCCCTATGCAGATTCATTCTGTCAGTCCAGGCATTAGACCAGTGACTGACGTCCAATTATTTTTGCACATTTTTTAAAACAATTTGAACTTCTCTATCAAGCTTTGTTCTTCACACAAGTCCTGCCCATTTTGGCTTTGTCCTCCAACAACAGTTGAGCTAGCCTGGTACCCGGCGGAACCTCAGTCAACTTTCCCCTTTCCTGTTCTTAGAGATGCTATGTGCCAAGCTCGTCTGTCATTTTGAAGATGGTTCAAAGCTGTTTCATACACTTTACAATGTATATACCCATACAATGTAATCGATCTACACTGACACATTACACTACATTTAGTCACATCTGAAGTTAGCTAATGTTAGCAAAACGCTAGCTAACATATAGCTACATCAACAGGAGAAGATGCCAAATCTTGAGGTAGCATTACCGTGGGGGTTGCACTCTGCTTGGATTTCGTGCCACACGCAGTTTAGTGCAAACTTTGACTTTATTTGGTAGTGACCTTCAATGTGCAACTAACACAGATGTCCATGCCATAACCTGAGAACAACCTGTGATGTATTAAAAGCTTATTCTCTTTTAGAGAATAAGTGCGGTAATTATTGTAACCATGGTCCCCCAACCTTTATGAAGTAGTCATTATAACCCAAACCACAATCTTTCCCTAAACCTAATTAAGTTGTTTGTTTTAGTCTAAATCTAACCCTACCTTAACCATAGCGTGTGTGCATGACACGACTGTGTGTGGGCACGCACTTACACACTTCAACACAGAGTGATTACAAGCATGGTCGCATGAGGAAACCAAGGTCCGGACCTCTGTATTTATATGTATGTATAAATAAAATCATTAGAATAAAAAACATTGATAACACAATCAACTTAAATGAAGGCCATGCGGGCGCAGCTGATTACATCGTTGCTACCCTCATTTAAACCTGAAAAACTGTTCCACGCTCAGTGTCCACACTTGGGGATGAAGCAATTTATTGTGCCTGCAATAACTAGAGCAACCCTGTCTCCCCCTTAAGAGAGACGCAGTGCGCATTTAATTAATATTTTTTAATTTTTTTATAGTTTTTGAGTCCAGGTTCATACAGAGAAACTGTCTGAAGTACAGCAGCTGTACTCTAGATTAATCTTGAGCTCGATCTGTGGGTCTAATTTTAGCAAGCTAAAAGTTGAATTCTGTTTCCTCTGCAGAGTTTCCTCTGTGTGTCCTGTCAAGTTTATAAATACAGCTTTTAGTTTTGCTGCATAAATGTCCCAGGGTATTTGCTGTGACATTACTGCACCCATGGAAACATTTAAATTGACTGACAGCAGCCTCTATAATCATGAAAGAAAACACTCATACATCAACACAATAAAGAAATCACCTGCAAAGTTGCAAAGCTAAATATGAGAAGATAATTAGTTGGGTTGGGGGCGCTGGATAATTTGTGCATCACACCAATGTAGCTTCATTAATAGTGACAAAACAGTGCAAACAGCTGCTGACGTCAAATTATTAGGCTGTAATATCAAGAGTATCCCCTGCATTAAGCACTAACCTGCTGTTTGTTATGTTGTCATATAGTAACAATAGTGCCCACTATGTAGTCAGCACATGCAATTTGCACACTGTATTCCTCCCTGTCAATAGGGGTGCTGGAGCACCCTCCTCACCCCACTACCCACGTGCTTGGTTAATATTGTATGTAGTGAATGATGCTTTATGCTTAATATGTCTGTCTTCTTTCGCTTTTCATCATCTCAAGAGCCTATCTAATTATATGTGGATTCATTTGTGTTATCTTTAATCAACCATTGAGAGAAAGATGACTGACAGTGATGTGACTGCAGGGTTTAAAAAATTATAAAGACAGCTGATTAAAAACATTTATTTATTTTATAAGTACACGAGTGATTGGATTAAAACAGAAATGAAGGCAGATTCTCTATTTGTTAAATAATCATGATTTTATAAACCTCCTTCATCACTACTCTGTTTGCCATCTAGCAGTCAAGGGTTACACAGGGTTGAGTATTTAGTTGCGAGAAATCTTCATGTCTTGTTCGATAGCAATTTATGTGTTAAGCAACATATCACCAAGCTTGTCCAGTCGTCTTTATATCACCTCAGAAATATTGCTAAAATACCATCCATTTTCAATTTTAGAGATGCAGACCTGTTGTACATGCTTTAATTTCCTCTCACCTTGATTACTGCAACACCCTCTTCTCTTGTTTTAATCAAAAAACCTTGAAACGACTACAGACTGTACAGAACTCGGCTGCTCGGCTTTTAACCAGAACAAAGAGGAACGATCACATCACACCTGTTTCGGCTTGTTCACAATTTCTCCCAGTATGTTTTAGGACTGACTTAAAGATCCTATTGATAACTTTTAGGATGATACAGCAAATAAAATGTTTTTTGGGATAATGGGAACATGACAAAGGCTCCTATGTTCCCAGTTCTGTCTGTCTGCCCATAACATGTAGCTACAGCACTAGCTACATGTCACGCTACAGCAGGGTTTCAGCAAATAAGTCTGGCATTGGGCCAAATTATTTTCAACTCGTTATATGGCGGGCCAGAACACAGTCAAATTATTTCAAACCCTTGGATACTCGTGTGCACGTTTAGCTCAGTCGGTAGACTGCGGGACCCCCGTTGGGGAAGTTGTATGATTGATCCCAAAATCCTGCGGACTTTTCTCCCTTGTTAAACATATTGATTAGCTTATAAAGACACTTTTGCACATGCTCACAATAAAGCATGTGCTGCAGTGTGTGTGCACGTCCTGGAATTTGATCCGCATTCAGTGATGCTTATTTTCATTTTCCTGAGGAAATTCAGGGGAATCCAATCACACATTACTGACGGCTTTTTCAGAGTTGGGTCAAGCAGGCCAATAAACTCAACACGAAGCATTGCTGCAAAAAAAAAAAAGTTCTCACGCTTTTATTTTGTAGGCACAATCACTTAAAAGGAAGTGATTGTGTGAGTAACCTTGGCTGTCTTGACTGAGATCGATTTCAGCACCAGCTGCTATCATTTCTAGTTTTTCTCCCTCCAGCAATGGCCCGCGGGCCGCCTATTGCCGAGCACTGCCCTACAGTGAGACAAAAAGGAGCACTTCGGATGTTTCCCTAAAGAACTTGTTCTTCCTTTTAGTAATAAAAATATATTAACAAAACATTTAAATAACACAGCTTTACTTTTGCTATTTATATTTGAGCAGAAAGTGCAATCAGGAGTTCAATTTTGACTGGCAGTGGCAGGGCTGCACACTGACAAAAAAAGGTGTGGCCCCCTTCGCGTTCCACTTCTGATCATGACTGTTCCTAACTAACTCTGAACATCATATGTCCTTTACCTGTCCCACCACGAGTCCTTAGGGTTCCGGTGTGAGAGGAAGTGCTGACCCCTCCGAAGACGGTCATCCCCTGTCCGACAGGGGCGTGAAAGTTGTTGTAGTTGGGGATGGCGGTGACCCCAAAGCTGGGATAGTGCTGCGGCGTGGGGTCGGCCCCATAGCGGTAACCCGCTCCCTGGGAGATGCTGGTGTCTCGATCGTCTGTGAGTTTGGTTGCTTCCTTATCCTTGCATTGCACACAGCCCATTATCTATAATCTGTGGACGACAAGAGAGGAAAAGACATCAGGCTGGTTAATACGGAGAGTGGTTGACTTGAGCGCTAAATCACAAAGTGGAAAGTAAGAAATATCAAAGCGCATTGCATAAATACAGAAATACGACTATGATGTGCAGCTAAGATGAAAAACTTAAGCAATTTATAAACGACAGCAGGCTGTTGGATCATAACTCAATGACAGAGGAAGATTACGTCAACAACAACAAATAAAGTGTGATAATGGGGAAGAGAAATAAAAACACAGACAAGAGCCTTCATGCAGGCAATTCAATCAGCTTATATACTATAAGCTGGACCGGTGAGTCGATAAGATGAAAAATGCTGTCTGTCAAAAGACTGAGCAGACAGAAAAGGGCTCGGCAGAACACCAAACTGAACTGAGCTCATCACTCTGTTCAAGGTTTTCACTTCACACTGCTTTCTATACACATGACATCCTTTTACTGATTAGCACTCTGGTCCGGGAGGCAGGGACCTTTTTCTTTATAGCCTGAACACGGCTTGGCTTCTGGATGACTCACACAAACAATGTGTCTCTTTCTTGGTCATGAGGAATAACGGCTCCTATCACTCTGGTGTCAGGGAGGCTGGCCAGAGAGAGGGGGAGACGTGGAGGCACGGTGCTGTGCTGTCAACATCACCCTGTTGATTTTAATGGAGGGTGGTGGGAGGACAAAGCGTCAGCAACTAGACGCTGGCTTTATCATGGAGCCGAGCAATCAGTCAGCCTGAGCAGCCAGAAATAAGAATCTTCACCAGTCTTCCACTAATGCAGTCTCTTTATAGAAGAAGTTCTGCTGGATTCCAGAGATCTGCGGATTCTACTTTCTACTTAAGAAGCTGGAATTCTAAGTTGCAAATACAGTTGCAGCAACACAGACTGTGAGTGGGACATCAAGAGCCAAAGTGACACTGAAGCTTCCAGTTTCTGTTCCAGTAAGAAGTAAGACAATATACAGCCTTGGAACAGAGCCTTTCTCATCTCGGTTTATATGTTCAGATAAAGATAAAGATGGTGGTTTCTTGAAAGATCTAATATCATTATTCAATATTTCTTTTTTTAGCTGCCTTTAACGAACACCATTTCCCATAAGCCCTACACCTTCTCGGGCTAAACGTCAGGGCTCGACAGAAGCTCAGACATGTCTGCCGAGATTACAGTTCAAAATGACTGAGGAGACTGTTGAGTTTTATGAGTACTGAAAAAATCAAGTCATGATGATGATGCAAGTAATCGCGCTTGTAGTTTTTTCATGGGAGCTGTAGTTTTAAAACGAATCATTGTTTAAGGTCTCAATTTCTTATAGCAACTGCTGTAGGGGATGCAGATTTATCTTAGGAACACGCTTCATTTGTCTCAGAAAGAGCGATGAAATAAAATGCTGAATGAGATCAACTGCATTGACTCACAGAGGCTAGTGGAACGGAGGCTGACTTGACATCATGGTGTGTCTTTAAGAGAAAGATAATTGAAACTGATGTTACTACGAAGGAGAATGTGTATGAAAAAAAGAAATCATACGAACAGGGAAAATAACTGAAATGATCACTTACAGGACAGTTTAACTTGTTTTGGGGGGGAAAAAGTTCATTGTTTGATTTAAATGGCTTTGCTGTGATAAAGTCAGAACCACCATTTCATACAAACCGCCATGATTTTATAAACCTCATTATTATTGCTTGTTTTTAACACTTTTAAAGCTTGGATTTGGGGGTACTGTCTCCCACAGTCTAAGCATTCTTAATTTTAATTTGAGCAAGCAGCAACCACCATGGCTAAGTGACTGTCAATCAGGCAAACACACTCTCAAACATATTAGCCTTGATGTCTCTTTAGTAAAACAACAATTCTCAATCATAAATCTAAATCTAAAGTTATTTATTGTTTTATGAGAGAAATGTTTGAAAACCTTGATACAATATATAATATAAATCTAATTTTTACATGTCAAAGTCAGTTAGAGAGCAACGCTCAACCTGTGAACAGGTGTATAATTTACTTAAGTCTGCAGGAGCTTTGTCAAGTCTGAGAATTACTCAGGCAACATCACCAAGGTATCTGAGCTTTGGAGATAAAATCTGTGCTTTTGTAATAAGCAGATACTCTTGGGTTGCAATGAACCAGGAATCTTTCCACTGTGGACAGCTATGTTGTAGAAAAGAAGGAATTCTTCTGTTGTGCGCATGTGCTTGTAAGGAGTAACGCAGCTCCAGACTACAGTCTACAAAAATCTTGAAATACTTTCTCAATAGTTTACTTATGACTAAGTTGGGATTGTCTGTCCCTCAGTGAAATGAAATGCTGAGATTTTCAAAACGACATACCACACAACAGCAGGGCACAAACTGTTGTACTCCCATAGGAATTAATGCCATCTAATTGTTTCTGTGCAAAACAAATATGAAAATAGCTGCCGGCATGGTATATCAGCACAGACACAATGGGCTATAAATCCAGGCTCTCCTCAGAAGACAAGTTGTCAGTCTGGCCTTTGGCTCCAGCCTGTCCTCGAATGTGTCACTTGAGAATACATTCACTCTTTCCTTCTCTCTTCTGCCTCAGTCACCTCATCTGACTGCAGCGAGAAGCAGGAAACGTATTCACTTGTGTCACACTGTGAGGACAGAGAGAAGAATAATGAAGGAGGGGTGTGGGCTTCCCCTTCTTAGCAGCAGCAATAAACAAGTGGAGGCTCATAGAAAGGCACCTCACTCCTCTACCAACCGACAGCGACACTGACGAACAATAGCCACTCTGAAATGGGATAATCACACACCAATCAAATGACAAGCGGCTGTGGACAAGAGGCTGAAAACATGAACGACAGAACGAAACTAAACAGCAACAATATGCGTCAACAATATGCGTCTACTGGATTAATATAACCATTAAATCTGCAGTGGATATTCACATTCCCCAGATGATGATCCCCAGAGTTTTCTGTGACCACCATCAAGCCAAAGTACACAAGAAATAATCTTATCTATTTTACTATAATCTAATCTACTAGGCAGGCTGACATGAAATATTTGTGCAACACAGAGGATGAACCCTATCTATCTTAGAACCTACATGACTTCTCCTTTAGTGCCTCCCTTGGGACATTTACGTTACGTATGTTTACATGCTCACCAGTAACGGAGTTTTGAGTCTTCTCCTGGTTTTGATCCTATTGATGTGACATTTACATGGAAGGTTGAGAAACCTGGCTATTCATCTCGCAGTATACATAATATTCATTTTATTATCACTGTAACTGTCAACAATCTGTCATTTCTGTTCTCACAGAGTTACAGTTCAACAATGAGGATGAGCTGAGGATGAACCCAGTTAAGTTTCTGGATGTCCAAAAAAAACTTTTAACATTCATTTTAGCCTGTAGATCATCATTACATTTCCAGCTGCAAAAATAAGATGATTAATCACAGTGGAAACCTCAAATTGATCATTATCAGTGGATTAATATTCTTTATTTCTCATGCAGAATATCATCAAATTCACATTTGTATATTTTGTCACCCATATAACCGGTTGATAAATATTTGCAGTTTCTACTGTAACTGTAAATTAAATATTTTGATTAAACAAGATAATTCATCACATCACCGAGGACTCTCAGAAAATGTGAATTATCTGACATTTTGTAGACGTAAAGATTAATTGCTGAATTGAAACCCTCCAGCAGATTAATCATTAGATGCAGCCTTACTTAAATTGCCAATTATCATATTTTTTGTTTTAATAATTAACTACGATGTAACTCATTGAAAAGCATTTGTTTACAAGATACTAAAAGTGAAAACACAATAGCTAATCTAACTTAATGTGAAGACCAAAAAAGGAGTGTGTGTGTGTGAATTTACTTTGGATTTTTGCTTTCTGATTATTCACTCTGGATTTTGCTTTTTGAACTGCCTGCCTAACCTAAGTTTTTCATCTTTTGGTTAATACATTCTAACGTGTGAGAGTGTCTGCATTTTGGATCCGATAACGTCTTTTCCTGTGACTTGGCTTAGTGTGACTGTCGGGTGTGTCGCCAGAAAGAAAGAACGTCTTTGCTTCTTTGTTCTGCCTCCGAATGTTCCATAGTATGAGCGTAAACACATGTGTGGTTAGGTCAGAAAAAAAGAAAGTATGTGAAGCAGGAGTTTTGAGTTTCCGCTCTAGGTTTCTGGCATGTTTCAAGCCAATTCAAGGTATGTGTATATGTTTATGTGATCTGTGTTAGAAAATAGGATAGTTATTTTGCATGCAAGACCCTGTGTCTTTGAGGCACACATCAAATTAGGATTTGAATACCTAATTCAATTCAAATTCAATACTTTGCCATATTGCCATATACCTTAGTTGTTAGAAATTTGCCTCAGTGTGCTGGTGACAGAACAACAATCACAGCACAACAGTCAAGACACTTTGTAAGAACACACATTTTAACACATGGACCCCACCTCATCAAAACATTTCATTCATGGATGTAAAATATCAATAGTACAAAAGAAGAATAAGTTAAAATGACAAGTGCTTCTAAAAAAGAGAAAACTAGTAGTCAGTGTTTTGCTTTTGTAAAGTACCGGTGCAGAAATGTGGAGCCATTTAGTAACTGGAAGGTAAGTTTGCAGTAAGTGCTGTTGAAGAAATTTGATGGCCCTGAGTATTTTGTCATTAGGAGGGGCTGGCGGTGTGTGTTGAGTCCTGTAGTATCTTTAGATATTTGCACTGAACGCGGGTCTCGTATATTTCAGAGATGGGGGTGAGTTTACAGCGGAGGCAGAGCGAACAAGTCTGTCCAGCTGCTTCCTCTTCCTGAGGTGTGGAGTTACCATACCACATATACCATTTCAGAGTGGAGCAGATTGTTTGAGAGACTTAAGGCTGTCAAAATAACCTAACTATAAAAAAACATCTCAACAATAAACTGTATGTACACTGATAAAAGTTTTGCTTGGCCATGTGCACTGTTACGCTACGATATGCCCA